GAGAGAGAGAGAGAGAGAGAGAGAGAGAGAGAGAGAGAGAGAGAGAATACTGTGTGATACAGCTCCAAAGAAAACAAAAAGTGGGTCTTTCTTCAAAATCAGTACATGCGCCATGCAAAGGAAAATGCTAGCTGATGAATTAAGAACGTGTACCTGTCACTGCTTAGTAGGCACTTTGATTAAAAAAGGTAAAAGGAGACAATCTGGTTAGGTTTAGGTGTCAATCACAGGTCATCATAAACATCGTTCTTAAATCTAGAATATTCTTCCCCCCATGCATGGATTAAATCTAGAATAGTTTTTCTAAACAACCAGCATTTGCAAGCCACAAATCAAAAGTTTAAAGCAACCCTAACCGTTTCGATTCTTTACCCATTTGCTACATGCTACAACTAAAACTCCATTAATATTGTAAAGGAAGTTAGTTAAGCTTAGAGATAGGGCAAAACAAAAGGATAGGAATTACATAATCGTGTCGGAGTTATTGATTCTCGTGGTGTAGAGGTGAGAATTGGATGGTGACAATTAGTGCGGTGAAATTACTCTTTCTTTATCTCATACTATATAATTAATAAACTTTTGAAGTCACAATCTTAGCAATCTTATTAAGAAACTAAGAGGTGAATTTTTAGATAAATCGAGAGTAATTCAAACTACCGATTTTCTGATAAAAATATATTTTTTAATTAGATGGAATGTTTTCATCATTTGTGTTGTTTAATATGAAACTAGAAATAGTAGAGAACTTGTTTAGAAAAACTATTTATTTCATCCCCAGAGGCGGATACCTGATTTGTATTCTATTTTTGTTTTCGTATTTTCTCACATTAAAAACATGAACTAAACAAAAATTCATATTATTTTCGTTTTCACTTTTTNAAATACAAAATAACGATTTGTAAACTTCCAGCGGCTGCTAATGGTCACTATATGAATAATGTTCACAAACGATTGTCTTCTCAAATCAAGTAGTCTTTCTTCTTCTACCCCCANTTCGTTTTCACTTTTTTTGAAAACTAAAAATCATAAATATTTCCAAAAGCCGCCATTAATTTTAATAAAGCATCCCCACCACACATGTATAAATATTACTATACATTTTTAATTAATTAATGTCATTTGTAAAAAAATTTAAAAATTATTACGGGTCCAATAAATAAATATTATAATAATTTTTTATTAAATATAGACAGCACGTGACAATACAACCTATACTTCATTAGCACACTAGTTTTGTCAATTGTGTGTGTATATGCACCCCCCAAAATTGAATAAAATGGGTCATCTCAGGTCTGGTAGTATCCAGAATTTGGCACCCAAAAAGGAGAAAAAGAAAAGTTGTGGTTATAGTCGGTGACAGGTGTCAGCTCCTCAGTTGTGAAGTTTCTATAAATATGAATCTCGATCAGATAAAAAAAAGTCTCACCGGCCAGTGGATGTCTCTTTCTGGTTCATCCTTCCCTTAATGCAATCAAAGCCACTCAAATTTCTCTTTTTTCCAGTTCAAATCTTCATCAATAAGAAATAACTTTTTTCATACGGGCCCTTATGTAAGTAAATCATTTCTATTTTTTTTGTGTTATCATTGTCAAGAATATTCGAATCGATTTACATATATTTTGATTAATTTTTTCTTTAATTCGATCGATAAAAAATAGACGATTCACACCAAAATTAAAAAACTCATTTAGACCCTCTTAATTTAAAAGTTCTTCTTTTTAATTTTAAAGACCGGTCACTTAAGTCATTTGGGTTGATAAATTTTCAACCCTCCCCTTAAAATATGTTTGGTGGGGTAAGGTTGATAATTATCAATCAGATTCACTTAAAAATTTTTCTTCTGACCATTATTGTCACCAGGCGGTAAGAGTTTAAGTCATGAAAATAATTAATTTATTTATGGAGATAAAATTATGTATATCTAATCATTTATAAACTTTACAGTGACGACAATTTTGTGCAATGAATTATAATTTAATCATATTCTGCCAACTTTTTCTTAATTTTTTTTTTTAATACCCATTAACTTTAAATAATTCTTTATCCAACATCTTCTGTGTGTGTGCGTGAGAGAGAGAGAGAGAATGACGTGAGAAAAAAATACAAAATAACGATTTGTAAACTTCCAGCGGCTGCTAATGGTCACTATATGAATAATGTTCACAAACGATTGTCTTCTCAAATCAAGTAGTCTTTCTTCTTCTACCCCCAAAAACACTCTGCAACTATTCTCTTCTGACTTTTCTCTCTCTCTCTCCACCATAAAACAAAGCTTGATACAAGTGTATTGAACCCAACCCTTGAGCACTAAAGGTCTAAAGATATGGCTACTTCCTCCAATTCACAATCTCCATTGCCAATCCACCTATGCTTCTTCCTTCTCATACTCTTCATTCTCGTCAGCTTCTCATGGTACATAAAATATGAGCCAATTTTCGAAGGCTTCTTTGATCAGATCAAACTGGTCCTCATGGTGTCACCGTTGCTGCTTCTGCTAGTTATTCACTTGCTTTCAACCTTTGAGAGGTCTCCGTTCTTCTTGCCGTTTCCGGACAAGGACTCTCTTCAACGTGGGGGTGGGACTCCGTGGGGCGTTGGCTTGCTTCTTGTGGTTCTGCTATTTATGATCTCTCACCAGTCTGATATCAGAGAACGGTGGTTTCCTCTTCTGAGCAGATGGTGGGGGTGATGACTGAGAGATATGAATGATCCGCCATGGAATTGTTTTATGAGCTTGTGTTTTTGCTTTCATAGTTTCTTATGGGTTCTTTGTCTAGAAGATCACTTCTTTTTTCTTTTTCTGAGAAAAGATAAAAGTCTATGATAGCAAACTTAACCTCTTGTATACCACAGAATTTTTTTTTTTTTTTTGACGGTAGATATGAGTTATTTGTAATGAAGGTAAATTATATTTTGATTCTCTCGACTATGATCTTTTCTTTTTTATTTTATCTCTTGAACTATTGAATTTTTTTATATTGCTTTCTTAATTGATTATTTTATACTGACCCAATCACAAATGTCTGTATCTTTTTAGACCAAAATTGTTAATGTGTCGTGAGAAAATAAAAAAAAATACATAATTCAAGGGACAAAATGAAATAAATTTACATTAAGTATGTATTGGATGTTAGTAATTGAGATAATGTGAAACTAATCACATAGTTAAGTGTGCAATGTGAAAAATATGATAGTTGTAGGGATAAAATTAAAAAAAAAAAGGCTATATTTGAGGCTGTCAAAGTGTAATTTAACTTTACAATAATTGATCATGAAAACATTAAAATAATAAAAATTTTGTAGGTACCACTTTGTGATTGATCCGAAAAAGAGAAGTATGATAGTGAAAATCATTTGATTGTTGTTGGAACTTTTTGCTAAGGAAGCCATTGATCTTAGCTTTGTTTGCAGATTTTGTTGAGTTCTGTACAACCAGGTTTTGGTTTACTAACCAACTGGGTAGCTCAGTTGCTCTGGGCCTCCGGCTTTTGAGTGGGAGGCGAGGAGTTTGAAGTTTGTTGATCATAAAAAAAAAACGTGATTGTTTGGTAAAATAAGGTTTTAGTTGCTTTGACGAATCGTATTCAACTCTATGATGTGGGTCTTGAGTTTCTAATAAAACGTAAGTCTTGATTTAAATAGTGTATGAGTTGAGAGAACCGGTTCATACATTCGAATTTTACCCTTGGTTTTATTCAAAGTCACGACATAAGTACAAAAATGAGGAGAAAGAGTTAGGCACAGACAGTTTGATTTTAATTGTGTGGGTGACATTCTTGACTAAAGAGTTGGGCACATAAAAAACCAACTTCACTTTTATGTGCGAAATTCTTGTTCCAGGTTGCGTTCTTCAACTTATTTGAACATAATTTGTGGATCGGCATTGAGATACTTCTTAATATATTTTTAAGGGTTAATTATATCTAGACTACTTGAAGTTTGTACACGTATAACACTTATACTTCTATAGTCAAGGTTCGTTTTACATCTGTTAATAAATTATATACAGACCCCTGAAATTTGTAGACGTATAATTCGTAGACTCTTAAATTTAAAATATTATACTTAAATTCTTTATTAGTTACAAAACTAACGAAATATATTAAAAAATCAAATTACTTCAATTAAAGATAAAAGATATTATGTCCATTATAGTTTTACCCCTTATTTGATATTTTAGTTTTATTCCAATAGATAGTATAATTGTATACTAATTATAATATTTTTAAGAAAAAATTGAATTTTTATTTTAATAAATGACATAATAGAACATGAATTTTAGTTGTAAAATTTAATATATTTGATATTTTTTTTAAAAAAGAAGTATTTTTTTATTTAAGTATAATATTTTAAACTTAAAAGATCTAAATATTATACTCATACAAATTTTAGGAAGTCTGCATGTAATTTATTAACGGATATATTAACGGACATTTACAGTAGGGGTTTGTGTACAATATTTTAAATGTTAAAGAGCTTAAATGATTAAAGGACAAATCTCAAATAATCTGAATGTAATTTTTTTTATTTTTAATTAATTTTCAAACAATCATAGACGACTTATAATCGGGGCGGGCCCAACATATATGGGCAGGCCTAACATATGTGGTGGCCTTAGCCAAAAATTGTTAAATTAGATCCTATAAATATTATTTTAATAATATATATTAATAAATAAATTTCAAAAAAGTTAAATATATTTATTTAATTTCTTTTTTTTTTTTTGAGATTCAAAAGTATTAATTGAATTTTTTAAATTCAAGTTTTATATATTAAAATTTTATTAACAAAAGTAGAATTCTCGGTCAAATGTGATTAAGCTAATTATCTATTGAAGATAACAACATAGAGAATGAAAATTTAGACCAGCTAACGGAATAATTTTTTTTGGGAATAAATATAAATGTTAAAATTTGTGTCAGTTAAATGGTCTTGGAATATATAAAGCATGCTTTAATATTATATAGAAGCAAAACAATATTTTAATAACAAAAAATTAGCAAGACAACTATGATTACGAATTAGTTGCAAATAGTGAGATATTTCTACGTCACTTTGTTCTATAATATTTTTGTGCGCTTCAAAAAAAGAAGTGAGCATTGGAGGAATCCTCAGAAATGATAGAGGGAGGAGGATACAGAGGCTGCCATGACCGAATCAACGATACATCCAGCCTCTAAACAAAACTCTAGGCTATCTACTAGGGTATGAAGTTGCTCAAAGATAGCTCTATAAGAATCATAGTAAGAGACTGATTCCTATGAGGCATACAACCCTCTCCTAGAACTTTAAGGGGAGTGTGTGACCCTCAAGCATCTTGTTGCTAACTGTACGAGCATCATCAAGTCCCATAACTACGAAGTCTGGCACATTATGAGAGAAGGGAACCAATGTGCTGACATTTTAGCGAATATGGGAGTGGATCTGGGCTTGGAGATGGTGGAAGTAATCCACCCACCTGCAAGTCTCTCCTCCTTTCGGCTTGCTAATATGACTTACATTTCTTTTGTAAGGGAACCAAGGTGATTGTACCTGGAGTCCCCCCCTCTTTCTCCCCAATGTACCCCAAAAAAAAAAAGAAGTGAGCAAAAATCTTTTTTAAATTAGAAGTGAACTCAAAGTTAATCTAAAACATATTAGTTGATAGACAATTGATTTTGATAATAATATAAAAAAATATGACACTACGTGTTTTCTGTATACCATAAACATTGAATAAGATAAAAATTATATTATGTCGATCATAATCATTGAATAAATAGTAGGTTTTAATAAATATTGAGACCCACAATTAAATGATCGTCCGTTATTAACCAAGTCAGTAAATCAAATCAACATTTTAAATTCGTGTGGCATTGTTCTATACAAATTATCTTTTTTTTTTTTTTTTGGGAAGGTCTTCCTTATAAAAATTATCTTGAAACCACCTAGGGAAGCCCATGTTGAGCTTAGTGTGGACTCTGTTTCACCATACCATGCAATTTCATCCATGCTTATTGATGATTTTCTGTACTGGTTTATCACCCTACAGAAGTTCATCTTATCTCTGGACTATCTTTTACCACCATGAAAATGTGTTTATGCATTCGCATGTGGTAATGAATGTGTCTTTGTCCCATTCAGGTAACCTCCTAGACCCCCATGGCCTGAGTTCGGGCTGCCTATGGTTAGCCCGAGCATCAACACACTTACTCAAGGGTGGTGCGGGCTAGTTTGTAGCACTTAGCCAATGCCTAAACTAGCCCCGAAGGCTTTTGTCATGGTTTTTAGCTTGTTAGGCCCAATAAATTGGTCCGACAAAGACCTGGAAACATAACATATTCGGTAAGAATGTTAAAATATGACACGAAACGAATATAAAACGAGCTTAAAGGATTTGAGTCTGGGTGGAACTATGTGTATATGTGTGGGAGCAGTTGCCCCCACTGACATTTGAGGATTTAACAAATATATACTGTGATGACAACAAAAGTTTGACCTATTTATCTCGTTGCCCCCTTAATTTTCTAAAAAATTTTATAGTGCCCCAATTCTTTTTATCTTTAGTAAGTTAGTAGTCCACTTGTTACTTAATCTACTATAATATTTAAATATTTTATTGTTAGACTAAGTCAAATAGATGAGAAATTCATCAACTCATACAAATCAACCAAAGACAATACATTTGCTATTTAATACACTTCCTTGCTTTTTAAAAAATAATTATATATGTAGTTGTCCCTAATTCATGATTCATAAATTAGTGGCTCGAAACCTAGTAACACATGAATAGGTATAGCAAATGATAAAATGTGCTAACCAAAAAGTGTTTATGCCTTTTTAAAAACATCAATTTCTAAACAAGATTAAAAGAAATTGTTTTGAAATATCTTTTAGAATTGATCAATTATAAACGATTATTGGGATTTGAAATAGAATCGTTGTGTTTTTCTTTAACATATGACTCAGATTAAATGTGCAATAAAAATATTATTTTTTTGTTTGTTCATATTGAATTAATTTTTGTTTTAATTTTCATTCTGTAATTAATTCTTTGATCTTAACATATTTCTCAAGGTGAACTAAGAAATTTTGTGTGTGAAATATGCACCTAATTTAGTCATTATTAATGAAGATGGGGAATTTTTTTTTCAAACAAGATGATTATATTTTTTTATTCATGATTTTGGCCCCATTAGGATAGAATTTTTGCTCCGCCCATAGTTTAAGTCTCCTTTAAACCACTATTGTGTGATCTAGTGAACCTGACACAACACGATTAATAAACGAATTAGGTATGAGAGAAATCAATCAGAAAAAATACATGACACAACTCATTTATACATCTGTTATACATGATTCATTCATGACACAAATTCAATATGACACGAATAAATAAATTAGGAATGAGTGAAATCCAATATGACACAAATATTTGTTGACACTAATCACTAATACCCGACATAAACTCATATCATCTGACACGGTTAATAAGATAAGCTTGGTGTTCGGTACATTCGCACACTGGCCCATTGGCCCAAACAAATTTTAGGGCAACTTTGAGTTTCATCTCTCTCTCTCTCTCACACACACACACATTTGAGGGTGCTGATTGCAGGCTTTGAGGGGTTAGAGAATATTGAGCACATGCATTACTACACAGCCCTAAAGGGAATCCAAAGTTTCATTTTTGTTGGCCTTTGTTTAAAATTCCTTTGTGTAATGCTTTTGCTTTTGCCTATTACATAAAGCTCTACTGCAAACAGAACTGATTCCACTGCTTTTATCCACACATTACCTCCCTTTTTAAACTCCCCCCCAACTAACTTGATCAAGAAGACTTCTTCTGTTCTTGACTGGTTGTTAGCCCTAAACTCATAATAGATTTGCTTATATTAATCAGATCTGTGATGTCAAGCACCATCAACAAAATCCGTCAATTTGAAATTTCCTCCATTAGATTGAACTGTTTAGGAGGGAAAGAACACAATAATATTATTCACATTAATTTTACTAACGCAACTTGTTGACTCAATCTATTATTGCCGTTAAATTAGTAGTAGATTTCAATCTAATATTTGAATTCATTTCTAATTTGACAATAAAAATAGATTGGATAAACGAATTTCGTGAATTAACTCCCAATAACAATTTGTAGAAGAAAAAACAATTAACATTTCAAAAAGAGTAAATAACATTTTGCATTCTTAGTCTACACCCAAAAAAATTAAAATTTTCATATTGCACCTCCAATCAAATAAAAAAGTAGTAATGTCCTCCATTTCAAAAATTAATTTTTTAAGGTGTAAACTAAGAATGCTATATTGCNTCTACACCCAAAAAAATTAAAATTTTCATATTGCACCTCCAATCAAATAAAAAAGTAGTAATGTCCTTCATTTCAAAAATTAATTTTTTAAGGTGTAAACTAAGAATGCTATATTGCACCTTCAATCAAATAAAAAGGTAATAATGTGCTCCATTTCAAAAATTGAGCACAAAATTTTCATTGAAAACACTTAAAACTGAATATTATGTAAATAATTATGTATACATATAGAAAAATATGAAAAATACNATGTGCTCCATTTCAAAAATTGAGCACAAAATTTTCATTGAAAACACTTAAAACTGAGTATTATGTAAATAATTATGTATACATATAGAAAAATATGAAAAATAAAATAATTGATTTTGGACTACATTGTCATAAACACATCTGATTGAGGGTGTAATGTGAGAATTTTAAGCTTTGTTTGGTTTACATTTCAAAAACTGTTTTCTATTTTAGAAAACAGTTTTTGGTAAGTTGTTTTTAGTTTTTTTTTTGTTTTCAAAATTTAGAAAACACCACCACCATCCTTCCACCGCCACCACACTCCCACCACCCTTCCACCACCACCACATATTTGTTTTCATTGTTTTTTAGATTATTATCCAAACAAATTTTAATGTTTTCTATTCTGTATAACTGTTTTTGAAATTATATAACCAAACAAGTTGTGCGATACAAAAAACACTGTAAATAGTTTTCAAAAAATAGTTTTTGAATATTATTTCAAAAAATACAGTATCTGAAAATCATTTTTAAAAAGAGTTTTGAAAAGTGTTTTTAAAAATTTTAGATTGCAAAACCTATTTGGTTACATATTCTTAAAAATAGTTTTAAAGAATAAAAATTATAAAATTTATTTGGACAATAATCCACAATTCTCACTTCTCCTTTCATCTCTCTGTATCTCTCTCTCTTTCACTGTGCATCAAGACCCACAAAGCACCAACACCCACAACCACCACCAAAACCCACAATCATCGAAACTCACAATCACCACCAAAACCCACAAAAACACCACCGACATGAGCACACAAATAGAGAACGGAGAAGTGAAGAAGAAGAGGGCTCCTGTGGCTCTTGTGCTTCGCTGGAGTAAGTGAAGAACAGAGCACCACCGCTGGATGTGGATCATGTGCTTCGTCGGAGTACGTGAAGAAGAGGGCTGACTAACTCTGGGCAAATGACGGGGAAGGTAGAAAAAAAAGCACCTTTTATACTTAGTCAAAAAATAAACAGTAATAAATAGTGCATATATACTCCGTGTTTTTAAAATTTTCAAGAAACATACCAGAAACAAGTTAGGCTTGGTTTTTTTTTTTGTACTTCAAATCTAATTTTTTTAAAAAAAATTTATNTCATAATATATTTCAATGAGTTGCAAATAGAACAATTCTTCCTTGACTAATTAATGTTATTGAGACTTAAAAGTCTCATTTAATTTATTGAGATCTATCAAGTGACAGAGTACCAAGGAAAAATATTAATGTTCTTAGGATATAATTTCTTAATATAATAATGTGTCAAGTAATAGAGTCTCAACGAAGAAATTTTAGAGTTATAATCACAACAACACTATTAAACCACGTCATTATCATACCATTTGATCGAATATAAATTAGATCATTTTTTAGATTTTAATAACATAACACAAAAAAACAAGGGTCCAATTTTCGATGCGAGTAAATCCAAAGATCAAAGCTAACATTTCAGAGTGATAGTGATAGCCCTGGACCCAAATGATACACTAAGTTCGGGGGAACATAATAAGGACTTGGGAGTTTAGGACATTGTTTATTTTGTCATCATAAGCTACTGATGATGAGTAAATTACTTATTCGAAAGAACATTCTGTTGCATCAAATTAAAGACCCCATCTTACTACAACAAAAAGATAAAGTAGGAAATAAAGATAGTAAACAAAGCAATTCACAAAGCAAAAGCTCCCTGTTCTCATGTCTTCGTGCGTTGGCGCCTTTGTCCACTGCCCACACCTTGACCTACACAATGGGCATATCTCCATGTTCTCTCTCTCTCATACAAACATGATAGAAACTCGATAAGAAAACGAACTAAAAAAGACAAAACATATTAACACAAGATATAAATAAGCTGAAATATAATTAAAAGTAAAAAATAAAATTTAAATTTCTTATTTGTGTTTTAAAATTGTATGAGTTGTTTTAGAGCAACTCCAAAGGTTAGCTAAAATTTCCTTTTTAGCTATTTTAGATAGCTTCTTCTTAAAATATGACTCCAACAGACTAGTTATTTTCCTATCTATTTTTCATAACCCTATTTTCACTAGCTACATCTAACTAGTCACTTCTCCCTGGCTACTTAAGAAGTTGTTGGTCTAGTGTTTGGATGAGGCGATCGATGGAGAGACGATGACATCTAGTTTGATCAAACTTGAAGCTTTCAAAAGTTTTCGATCACTCGAAAGTTTTGAAGTGATTTTGTTTTGAATTTTGTGATTTAATTTGAGAGAATTTTATTTGGGAGTAATAATTTTTGGGAGATGGGTTTTCTTTTGTAGCCTATAATTGATTAAATTTGTACAATAGCTATTTTTTAAATTTTATTATTAAAAATTAAATAAAGTTAGTTAAAGTGGTTAGCTAAAATAGATATCGTTATTGGAGTGAATTTAAAAAAATAATTAATTAAATTAGATAATATAATATTTAAATATATTTTGAGTAATTATTTTAAATAACATTATTGGAGATGCTCTTAAAAATAAACCGTTTTCCTAACCCAAATAAGCTGATCTAGAAGCACTAATGCCTCAATTCCTTCAACTTGTGCACTTCGTGCTCTTCAACCTTATGTTTCAACTACATAAGAAATAACACTTCCACCTATTTAGTCATGTCCATCTACTTTTGCATGGTTTATCAGTAAAGAAAAATTGGATGAAAAATAAGACTTAAAATAAACACGACACAAAAATGATAGAATTACTCGATACCTCTATCTAATATTGACTTGATTAGGAAATAAGCATGGACATTAGAAGTTTGGAACCAACCTTGAGCAGCTGAGCTTCATACTCGTGCCTTACACATCAGACCCAAGCATGGACTCCAAATCTCCAATCCTTCTTCTTGTGGAGAAAAAGCAAAAGTAATTAAGACAAGTGTGCTTCATCTTTACCTTTATCTTTCTGCTGCNAAGCATGGACTCCAAATCTCCAATCCTTCTTCTTGTGGAGAAAAAGCAAAAGTAATTTAGACAAGTGTGCTTCATCTTTACCTTTATCTTTCTGCTGCTTTTTCTCACTCCCCCAAACAGTGATNACATCAGACCCAAGCATGGACTCCAAATCTCCAATCCTTCTTCTTGTGGAGAAAAAGCAAAAGTAATTAAGACAAGTGTGCTTCATCTTTACCTTTATCTTTCTGCTGCTTTAGATCTTTTTATCTGTCTTCTATCCAAACCCATTCACCCAAAGTCCCACTAAAACCCTCACTACCTCACTTTATTTGTCTTCTTCTCTCTCTCTATAAAACCCTAATCACACAGACAGAGACAAACCCACAATTCACCACCAAAATCCCACTAAAACCCTCACCACCTCTCTTTCTTTGTCTTCTTGTCTCTCTATAAAACTCTCCACACCACTGAAAGAGACAAACCCACAATTCACCACCGCCCTCCTCCGCCATGGAAATACTATCCCAAATGTGGTCTCTCTTAGGCCTCCTCACAGTTCTCCAAAACATCTTACCCACGCAGCTTCTCTCTCTCCTACATTCCTTCTACGAGTCCCTCCAAGACTTCCTCAGCCCTTACTCCTACTTCGAAATCCCAGAATTTAACGGTTACTGTGGGGTTGACATCAACGACCTCTACCGCCATGTCCACCTCTACCTCAACTCCGTCAACCCCGCCAACACCTGCCGCCGCCTCACTCTCTCCCGCTCCAAATCCTCCAACCGCATTTCCTTCACTGTCGCGCCAAACCATACCGTCCACGACACGTTCTCCGGCCACCGCCTGTCGTGGACCCACCACGCCGAGACCGTCCAAGACTCCCTCGATGAAAAACGTAGCTTCACTCTAAAACTCCCCAAGCGCCACCGCCTCACCCTCCTCTCACCCTATCTCCAACACGTCACAGCCCGAGCCGAAGAATTTGAGAGGGTGTCCAGAGAGCGTAGACTCTTTACCAACAACGGACACGGCTCGTACGAGTCCGGTTGGTCCTCTGTTCCGTTCCGACACCATTCCACGTTCGATACTCTAGCTCTCGAGCCAGAATTGAAGAAACAACTCATGGATGATCTTACTGCATTTTCTGAAGGAAAAGATTTCTACCACAAGATTGGACGAGCATGGAAGCGTGGGTATTTATTATATGGCCCTCCTGGTTCAGGAAAATCAAGTCTCATAGCTGCCATGGCCAATTATCTCTGCTACGACGTTTACGATCTTGAGCTGAGCAAAGTTGCAGACAATTCTGAACTGAGAGCTCTCTTGATTCAGACTACTAATCGTTCAATCATAGTCATTGAAGATATTGACTGCTCTGTTGATCTGACCGGTGACAGAGTAACCAAGATGAGGAAACCATCGCCGGAAAGTCACAAGAAGGGTCGCCGCCGGAGGGTTATGGACGCCGGAGAAGACAACGGAAGGGTGACATTGTCGGGGCTCTTGAACTTCACCGATGGGCTATGGTCTTGTTGTGGGGAGGAGAGGATCGTAGTGTTCACTACAAACCATAGGGACACTGTCGACCCAGCGCTTGTTAGATGTGGGCGTATGGACGTGCACGTTAGCCTAGACACGTGCGGTATGCATGCGTTCAAGTCACTTGTGAAGAACTACTTGGGAGTGGACTCGCACGTGCTGTATGACGTGGTGGAGAGCTGTATGAGGGCAGGTGGGGCCCTCACACCGGCTCACGTTGGGGAGATCTTGCTGAGGAATAGGAAAGATGCTGACGTGGCGGTTAAAGCGGTCGTGTCAGCAATGCAGGCCAAAATTTTGGGTACCGACTTGGATGTCGGAGATGGTGGGAAGGATTACAATGATGGGACGAGGACGCCGGAGAGTATGGAGAGGAGGTTAGTTGAGTCGCCGGAGAATTGGGAGGGGTCGCCGGAGAAATTTGGGGGGAAGAAGAGGAGAGAGGGGTGTAGTTGGGAGAGGAAGGTCAAGTTCTTTGTTAGGCTCAAGTCTTTGACCAAATCTGATTCTGGAAGAAGGGGTGTGTGACTTGTAATTTAATCTTTGGTGAATGTAGTCTAAGGGTTGTTTTTAAATTGTTAATTTGTGAGTAGATGTAATTTGTAATGCTAATTAATTAATCTTGACAACGAAAGTTTTGGATTAATCCCGATGAAAAGCTCTAGTGATAACACAGATGAATTGTAAATATAAATTTCTTGAATTTGAATGTTGACAATTTCTTGAAATCAGGTCATAACAGATATTTTTCATAAATATCCAAATTTTGGCGTGGATGACCTGTCGTTGACTTGACCAAAGAAGAAATTAATCGATGTGTACGTAAGTTGACCTAAACACTCATGTCTGTTAAACCAAAAAAAAAAGGTTTTGCATTACTCAAATAAATTAAACTATTTGAATCTTTTCTAATATTTTTTGTTTATAAGTGAAAGATAATCAGCCATAAATTTATTTGAACTTGTTTAGAATATCACTAGCGTAACCGGTGTTTCAAGGAATGCTGCACTACAAATAGTTTTGAGTGCGATATTAGTGATCGTTAGATGAATATATTTGAGAACGTTAAATAAATTTATTAAAATATGTGTTATTTTATATTATAAATTTTAGCCCATTTTAATTATCGATGATTATTGTTACTTATATAGACGATTGTCACAAATTCTTGGGGGTCCCTAGTGTCTATATGTTCTTAATTCTTGAGAATATGATTGTGTATGTGTTAACTCACGTATTTTGAAGTGAAATTAAATGTCTTTATTTACAATTGTTAATGGATCTTATTGTATCATATTTTTAAACCATGAAATTGTAGCACATTAAATTTTTTTTAATTTATAGTTAAATCAGTTATAGGTATATTCCTATGTAGTCAAATTTGAAAGAATAACCACGTATCAAGTTAATTCTATGAGGACTTTTTTTTTTGGGTGTGGGTGTGGGTGTGGGTGGGGGGAGGGGGAGAAAATATTCATTACAATGGTGATACTACGTGACAAAGTAATGTGGTATCACCAACCAATAATACTAAAATAAATAAACAAATAGACCCTATAAAAATTAATAATTAACCTGCAATGTAAGTAAAAAACTTCTCACTCTTCTGCAATATAAGTTTTAGTAGGATTCACCTTTTTTATTTGTTAGTGATATTACTTGGTATTAGCGTTGTATTTAATATTTACTCATGGGGGAGGGGGGTGGGGTTTGGGACAAAATATAGAATGTCACTATTATATCATGTCATCATTGTCATATGATGTAGCCATCTAATTAGAAAAAAACTTTATCGACAATATGTATCCCACTTCTATTTATGAGCAGCTATTGTATGATATGAATCTACAGTTATTTATTGTGTAAGATCCACTTTTTTCACTTCATGTATTATTATTGGAAGGATACATCATGTCAATTTGATAATATGGTGTAATTTTAATACACAATACTTTTCTTGAAGAGTAATGCTATTGGAATCTAATTTACTGTGACATTTGAATTGACTATGAACTCTATTAAATATTGAAACTTGGCGTTGATTCATTGGTTCTACTAAAACTCCATCATAATGTCAATAAATTAAATTAAATTTTTAGGTTTAAATAGGATTATTCTTTCTCAAAAGAAGGCTTGTGGGGGAAAAAGGAGTAAATATTGGGTGTAATAATGATATTATGTGTCAATAATGACATGATGTTATTATCTAATAATAAACTTATAAATAGATTAGATGAATTTCATGTAGAATGACAAGGCAAGACAGTTACTAAAAATGTGGAATCTATCTGTTTTTATTAGAGGGTGACACACCCAATATTTTTTTGAGAGAAGGAGGAGAAACCAAAAAAGGAAAAAAAAAGTGTTGCAGCAAACACGTCGCCTGAGAGATTCGAACTCTCGCGGGGAAACCCCATGTACTTAGCAGGCACACGCCTTAACCACTCGGCCAAAGCGACGGTGTTTTTTATGTTATTAAATTTTATTTTACTTATAAATTAGAGTAGATTTGTTGTGATTTTTCACACCCAACCCGAAAGCATCCACGAGAAAGAAATCTGACACAAATAGGTACCACCATGGAACACGTCAGACATTCAAAACCGACACGAGCGTCTTTCTTCTCTCCTCGTCCCTTAGCACCACCACCTTCCGCTGTCCTCTCCACCTACTGTTGCGTTTTATCAAACTAAACTTATGTGATGCATAGATTGTTTGTAGCTAGTTATGAACGATAGTCTTACCACGCCTAGTATAAAAAGTCTTACTATGCCCATTATAGTATAAAGGAGACTATGCATGCAAATTTTATTTTTTATTTTTTGCTATTTAACAAGTTCGCCAGGGGCGCCCACATATAATAACTTCTTCGAGATGTTATCNTTGCATTACTCAAATAAATTAAACTATTTGAATCTTTTCTAATATTTTTTGTTTATAAGTGAAAGATAATCAGCCATAAATTTATTTGAACTTGTTTAGAATATCACTAGCGTAACCGGTGTTTCAAGGAATGCTGCACTACAAATAGTTTTGAGTGCGATATTAGTGATCGTTAGATGAATATATTTGAGAACGTTAAATAAATTTATTAAAATATGTGTTATTTTATATTATAAATTTTAGCCCATTTTAATTATCGATGATTATTGTTACTTATATAGACGATTGTCACAAATTCTTGGGGGTCCCTAGTGTCTATATGTTCTTAATTCTTGAGAATATGATTGTGTATGTGTTAACTCACGTATTTTGAAGTGAAATTAAATGTCTTTATTTACAATTGTTAATGGATCTTATCGTATCATATTTTTAAATCATGAAATTGTAGTACATTAAATTTTTTTAATTTATAGTTGAATCAGATATAGGTATATTCCTATGTAGTCAAATTTGAAAGAATAACCACATATCAAGTTAATTCTATGAGGACTTTTTTTTTTGGGTGTGGGTTTGGGTGTGGGTGGGGGGAGGGGGAGAAAATATTCATTACAATGGTGATACTACGTGACAAAGTAATGTGGTATCACCAACCAATAATACTAAAATAAATAAACAAATAGACCCTATAAAAATTAATAATTAACCTGCAATGTAAGTAAAAAACTTCTCACTCTTCTGCAATATAAGTTTTAGTAGGATTCACCTTTTTTATTTGTTAGTGATATTACTTGGTATTAGCGTTGTATTTAATATTTACTCATGGGGGAGGGGGGTGGGGTTTGGGACAAAATATAGAATGTCACTATTATATCATGTCATCATTGTCATATGATGTAGTCATCTAATTAGAAAAAAACTTTATCGACAATATGTATCCCACTTCTATTTATGAGCAGCTATTGTATGATATGAATCTACAGTTATTTATTGTGTAAGATCCACTTTTTTCACTTCATGTATTATTATTGGAAGGTTACATCATGTCAATTTGATAATATGGTGTAATTTTAATACACAATACTTTTCTTGAAGAGTAATGCTATTGGAATCTAATTTATTGTGACATTTGAATTGACTATGAACTCTATTAAATATTGAAACTTGGCGTTGATTCATTGGTTCTACTAAAACTCCATCATAATGTCAATAAATTAAATTAAATTTTTAGATTTAAATAGGATTATTCTTTCTCAAAAGAAGGCTTGTGGGGGAAAAAGGAGTAAATATTGGGTGTAATAATGATATTATGTGTCAATAATGACATGATGTTATTATCTAATAATAAACTTATAAATAGATTAGATGAATTTCATGTAGAATGACATGGCAAGACAGTTACTAAAAATGTGGAATCTATCTGTTTTTATTAGAGGGTGACACACCCAATATTTTTTTGAGAGGAGGAGAAACCAAAAAAGGAAAAAGAGAGTGTTGCAGTAAACACGTCGCCTGAGAGATTCGAACTCTCGCGGGGAAACCCCATGTACTTAGCAGGCACACGCCTTAACCACTCGGCCAAAGCGACGGTGTTTTTTATGTTATTAAATTTTATTTTACTTATAAATTAGAGTAGATTTGTTGTGATTTTTCACATCCAACCCGAAAGCATCCACGAGAAAGAAATCTGACACAAATAGCTACCAGCATGGAACACGTCAGACATTCAAAGCCGACACGAGCGTCTTTCTTCTCTCCTCGTCCCTTAGCGCCACCACCTTCCGCTGTCCTCTCCACCTACTGTTACCACGCCTAGTATAAAAAGTCTTACTATTCCCATTATAGTATAAAGTAGACTATGCATGCAAATTTTATTTTTTATTTTTTGCTATTTAACAAGTTCGTCAGGGGCGCCCACATATAATAACTTCTTCGAGATGTTATCTTAAGGTTCCCACAAACCGTAAAATATTCGATTTGAGTTATAGTTCCTGATCAAAGATGATTGAGATCGTCACCACAATACCACCGAATAAAAACTGAACATTCAAACTCTCTAACAGTATCTAGTTCATATGGACTACTACTGCAAACGAGTTCGAAGTCATGATCACCAGAAGATGGCGAAAATTCCACCCTCTACTAAAAGCCAATTAGGCTACCACTTCAATGGTACTCTGCTTGCAATTTTTTCATTCATTCTTCCACATCGTCTTCTTCCTCGTCATTTTTACTTTGCTTCAATTCCAACCTAGCAACATGGCCATGGAGATTCCTCGGAGACATATTATTGAAGGTGGTCTTGTTTTTGTTCTAGTCCAAGCTCTCCTTTATCTCATTGTATATCAATCATCCCAAATCTTCTCAAACACCCCTGGGAGGTCTTTCAGTTTAAAAACCAGCTCACTTGGTTAGCATTCCCCCAATCGCCGCCACCTCCAACTCCCATGGACTTGAAGTCGGCCACCCAACAAGAGTACTCATATACCCATAATCATCTGATGCTACTTAAATTTGACTTATGCATCACAACTCCGAGTCACGGAAACAGTCTTTTTTCACACGGTATAAAGTTACATACATTTGACTCTTCTCGCATACTAAACTGTCATTACCTAGTAGAGCAGTGCAGTTGTAATCTTAGAGATTCTTTTGTTGGATTCTGAAATTGCAATTATGCAGTTTGGTCATATACAAGCTAGTGTCTGTGAAGACAAAGTGTAGCATTTGTTAATAGCATTCTCATTTCTTTGCTTTTCTTTTTGTCTCCTTGTGTGTGTTTGTGCCTACAAAATTGAGAACAAGCTGTGAAAATATCAACAGGTGCACATCTGCTCTGCATTAGCAAGTAACGCGTCCAAGGACCTGAAAGAAAATGAAAACAAAATCATCACTTTTCTCACTTAAAAAAATGAACACAATTTCACGAAAAAATGGAGAAAAAAAACGCGAAGAAGAAAGTTAGAAACTTAGGATAACAGAAGTGTTTTTTAGATCTTTATCATTAAACATGAGACAAATTACAAGAGGTCTGTTAATGTCAGTCTTCTTAAACTTCAAGAAGCGCACGCACACAAAAAAAAGCAGGCATTGTATGAAGTATCATAAGTGCAGAAATATTAATGATAACATATTTCTGGCAAAATTCTAGGGTTCAATGGCAATCTTAGAGAAACATCTTGTTTTCCGAGAAACTTCAAAGAACAATTCCACCAGAACTCTCAATTCAGGTAGCAAGCTGCACTAATCTCTAGGGATCTAAGACAACTATCTAAGGATATCGCATTATTCTAACAATATAATCTCCAAATAATAAATTCGAATAATACCTGTAATTACAATTTTGTACAGCAATTCTTAAATTAGGACTCTTTCTATTTAAAGATAATTTGAGGATGACCAAACATTGCTAGCCAATAGGGCATATTGGAAAAATGGACCAACTCAATATTTTGTCATCCCAAATATTTGTACATTCTGTGATCATAATGTTAGACCCTGTGATCCACACTCATAAGGCAAAACTCAACTCAATCACTTAGTGCTGCAGTTCTACATACAGTGGAGAACAAAGCAGGAATTTCAATTTTNTAATGTTAGACCCTGTGATCCACACTCATAAGGCAAAACTCAACTCAATCACTTAGTACTGCAGTTCTACATATAGTGGAGAACAAAGCAGGAATTTCAATTTTAAGCATGGAATAAGAACATAATGCAGATATTATCTTAGAACAGCTGGATGTTAAACTAAGAACGTACAGAATTTTAGAGAGCTGACGAGCCCTAGCCGCCTATGTGTATCATTGGCCTATTTGGTGTCTTTGCAATGTCAAACATTCCAGCATGAGCAGCCTTCTTCCTCTTGACCTGAAGCAAACAAAAATTTAGAAGTCATAAATCTCGCCTCATTTGCGAGAAAATGATACAAGGTAAGCAAGTAGATGAAAGCATTTATAATCATTGAGCTAGGATGACATCATTGTCCGTTCAATTTCCGAGACGTCATTATCTGTCTATTGTGTATATGACCCAATAATAGGCGATGCTTTAAGTTTAACCATCCAAGATATAACAAAGTTGATGGCATGCAACAAACTACATGGACAAGAAGCCTCAACATTTTCAACAGATAAGGTGTTTGCATCCTAGGTTGCCACAAGAAATAGGAAAGACATACTGCTGCCCCAATAATTTCCTTGAGTTCATCATCATTGACACCATGACGAAGGGGATCCCTCAAGCTAACCTGCAAGCAATAAAGTTCAATAAGATTCAACGATGACAGGAACTACAATTGAATTATCATCTCCAGGGCACCTAAGTGCCACAGTGTAGCATTTCAAAGTGTAACAAAAATCCATTTATATTACTTCAATAAGCTGTTGGAGGAAGAAAAGCTCCTCCAAGGGCTCCTTACATGGAAAACAAGCACCATTAGAACCTCAACTCAACTCTTTCCTTTTGGGAGTGTCAAACAAAAAGTTAATTTGCTGAACAATCTAAGCCATATTTGTTAACGCTTATTTTAAGCAACCTATAGCTTTCAGCTTAAAGAAACCATTCTGACATGTTTGCTGCAACTAATTTAAGCTAAGCTAAACACAGCTTATGTAGNAGCCATATTTGTTAACGCTTATTTTAAGCAACCTATAGCTTTCAGCTTAAAGAAACCATGCTGACATGTTTGCTGCAACTAATTTAAGCTAAGCTAAACACAGCTTATGTAATCTAAAAAAAGCTGCTTTTAAGAAGCCGGGCATGAGATACTTTTGAAAAGTTGTTTTCAGCTTAGGTCATATTTCTGCAGCTTTTTAAAACCTAAAACAACTTTAAGCAGCCTTTCGAAAACATCTCCTGAATAACTTCCTAAAAGCAGCTTTTATGGCTTATTTGAGCTATTTTCAGCTTAAGTTGGATAAGTTGCAGGCTTGCATAAAAAATGTCAACACAGGTCTTTAAAACTTACACCTATAAGTTACCCAAAATAAGTTTACATAGACANTATTTGAGCTATTTTCAGCTTAAGTTGGATAAGTTGCAGGCTTGCATAAAAAATGTCTACACAGGTCTTTAAAACTTACACCTATAAGTTACCCAAAATAAGTTTACATAGACACTTTTAGATTGGTTTAGATTTATGTAAATAAACTCTGCGATCAACAAGGTCCTAGTCATGAACAACACACTTAATTTTAAACTTAAGATAATCCCAGAATTCAAGGCTTCACAAGCACATTCAATCCCTACCCTGCCCAACGGTAGGAAGGGGATTATGTACATGAAGCCAAAGTTTCCTTATGCATCCTATTCCTACTTGTTCACAAGAAGAGAGTAGACTCCATAATTCAATAGATTGATAAAGGGATGCTTTCAAATAAGCATTTTGAGGAGCATCCACCCCACCGACCGTGTAAAGAATGTAACTTGAACAGAAATAAAGAATAGCAGTCTTATCAATCTGTGCATTGTTCTTCACTCGAGCAGTATTGTTCAAGTTTTGTCATAATAGAAGCATTCACCCCAAGAACTCTCACCTAAGATCAGTGGCTGATGATGGGCCATAGTTACTAGGATGGTTGATACCGCAACCGTCCCATGAATCAGGACCCGAAACAGAGTAGCATCACGACCAGGATTGCCCAAATTCCCAATCCCAAATTGTTATCCTAACTAGTTATTTCTCTTGGTACACATACGTAAACACTAGCTTTTACTGTTCACAATCATTATCTGGTATGTTGTCCTGAATTGTGCTTCGCTTTGGAACTCTTGTCAAAAATAAACCCATAAATTTTTGTGGACTATGTGTATATGGATGTAAAATTATGCATAATTTCATATGATACAGAAAGCGAAACATGACACGACTGCATAGCAACTAAGTCTACCCCATCGCATCACATATCAAAGTATCGTGGGTCATAATCTAGATTACATTGGGATGGGCCACATTGTCAAAAGCAAAGTGGATGATGATGCTTGTGAGAGGGCTACAGTAAAAAAGTCCCAATGATATGATAACTACACTCTGGATATTATAAGCTAGAGTAGATGTAAGGTAATGCCTTATTCGCTCCAAGCCGCTGCAACAATGTTTAATACTCACATAGCTCATTTTAACGTTAAAGTTGGACAATGGTATGCATGCTTACCCAGCAAATCAGATTTGAGAGCCAGAAGGTCAAAGATCTAGACTGAAAGGGTATTGGTCTAAGATTGGATGATGGTCTTGGCATTTATGAGAACCGGTAGTTTATCCCTAAAAAGAAGGGACACAGCCTGGTTCATTAATGGACGCATACAAAGTGGTTCATTAATGGAGTGAACTTTCTACTTACATTGTTCTTGGTCTTGGCATGTTTGTTTATCTTTGTAAGTTGAATTGATCCAACCTCTTGATTGGAAATTATGAAGTCCTTGTTTTATAATGCACTTATAAACTTCACTTCTTCACATGCCTGATATCACCCACAGGCGACAGACATTCCAGCCTAGAAGGACAATTCTAAGTCCAGGTGGACTCTAGCATGCTTAGTGAGTAAAAGAGCCGAACAAATACGAATTGAGATTTGAAGAAAAACATGGAGTTGGGTGCATTGATGAACAAGATATTACTCCCTCCGTTCCTAAATATCTGTCGTTTTACACAATTTTTTTTGTTCCACAATATCTGTCATTTAATGAAACCAAAGCATAATTAATATTTTTTCTTCCAAATTTACCCTTAACTTTTCAATGCATTAGATTAGGTGGAGACTAAGTGCCTTTCATATTCCTTTCCTTCCCAATACGTATTGAATAAAGATATTTTAGTCTTGTATAATTTTTTTTTACTCATATTAGAGCTATTTAATAGCTTACTTAATCCCTGTGCAAAAACCTTAAACGACAGATATTTAGGAACGGAGGAAGTATCTTTTTTACCATATCAATATCTTAGTTAAAACGTCCATCAGAAAAGGAAACGTTCAAGTATTGAGTACACAGTGAAAGGTGTTTAGGGCACACAATTTATACAATCCAGGAAACAATGAGTTCAATCAAAAAAGTATATCACATGCTGAAAACTAACTGCAAATTGATTTGTTATATGCAACAAAAACCAATGATTGCACAAGCAGGATGGACATGACTTGAGTTGAGGCACTACAACATGGGACATAGCAAATGAAACATGGTCAAGGTTGTGAAATACATGATGACTAATGGGTGGGGGGTGTTACCTTTGTCATCTTTGTTTCCATGTCTTTATCACTTATCTGGTTTTTCATGGGGTATCATTTCTTCCATTATTTAGGTCTTTTCATCATCCTTATTCTAGGGACTTGGGTTTTTGTAGAAATCTGGATGCCTCTTCTTGCTACTATTGATGACATTTTGTTATCTCAAATCAAGAGTTATGTGACAAAAGGAGATGGGTGCTGGAGTCCGTGCTTTTTCCACTAAATCCTTCTATGATTCTTTGGTTGTCGGTTGTCCATTTATCATGTCCTCCATTTATTCTAGCTATAATGATTTGGAAAGCAAAAGTGCCTATTAAAGGGAAAGTTTTTGCATGGAGTGTTGCACATGGAAAGATTAATACTAATGCTATGCTTCAGAAATGGAGGTCTATTCCTTGTCTATCCCCTCAGTGAAGTGTGATGTGTAAAAGTGGTTAAGAAAGCATTAATCATTTGTTTTTACATTGTCCTATTACTTTAACTTTGTGTCATAAGTTGTTTAAGTTGGTGGGTTGAGTTGGGTGCTTCCTAAATCATCCATATCTTTGATTATTGAGGATGTGAATGGCTTAGGGTCTCTTGATAAGGGTGTAACCCTATGAAATTATGCTATAATTGTAACTTTTTAGGTTATATGGATGGAGAGAAACACACATTTTTTTAATGATAGGGGTGACTATTTGGATGACTTATGGGACTGAATTCATTTCTTAGCATTTTTTTGGGCTTCGATTTCAAAGGAGTTTAGAGAGATTCCATTTTTTGCTATACTTTTAGGTGGATAGCTTCATGTGATTTATGGGCTTTTTGCTTTTCACTCTTATCCAACATTCTTCATATTTTTCGGATTGTTAATATAAGAAGTTATGTTTCCTATCAAAAAAAAAAATGATGACTAATGAATGATGGGAAGATATATCCCTCCGCTTAGCAAAATTGTACAGAAGGATTACTGTGCAGTATCCCACATAATTGCAATAGCTTATATCAAGTTGACTTAAATGATATTAATCCTCCATTCTGCATAGAAGAGTACATCTGGGAGTTGATGAGGGAACAACGTGTGCGCGCGCCCCGCAGGGGGGGGGGGGAGGTTCCGCCCGGTGTCATGCAAAAGCATCAATGACTAAATAATGTGGAGGTATTAAGCATATAAGAACATATGCGTTCTCAAGTGAGTAAAAACCAAATGAAGATATGAACCAAGTGCTGTATTGTAGGCGAGTAGAGAATTCACCTCTGAGGGACCAAAGAGGCATACTTTAAAGTTCCCATCGGCCAAAAGCCGCAATCTATTGCAACCAGCACAAAAATGCTTAGTCATGGATGTGATGAAAGAAACTGTACCCTGATGTCCATCTATTCTGAAATTCTTAGCTGTCTCTGTGGGATGATCACCAATCCTCTGAAGCCCTGTAAACCGTTTGCCCTGTTCAGTGTTAATGAGGGATTTAGGATATGGAAATAAATGACATTCAGAAATCTAAACATGTGAATTTACACCTGAGTTCTACCTTACCACTCTGTCCAACATTTCATAGTAGGATACAAGTTTCTTGACTTTCCACACATTTCCGTCAAAAGGCATAAATTCAATAAACCGGACATTGATTGGTTTCTCACGGGTCAACTCTACGAAATCACAGATTTCATCGTCATTGAATCCACGCATTACAACACAGTTCACCTGAGATATGGCACATAAGAAAGACATTTCAGTTGTGAATTTAAATGAAACTTTGACATTGAACAAGAAGTAATCAGAAGCTTATCCTAAAACATACAGCAATAATATATTAACACAACTAATTTTTTTTTAAAAAACTTATAACATAATACATGAACCAAGAATAAATGGAAAAACAGAAAAAGAAATGCACTATTAAAAAGTTGGATAGAACATACTTTAACAGGATTGTATCCAAGGTCTATCGCGGCATCAATTGATTCCATCACTTTGCTATGTCCTTTACGCCTGGTGATGAATTCAAATTTTGCTGGGACCAACGTGTCTAAGCTAATATTAACCAAACTAAGTCCACATTCTTTCAACTTGGGAAGTTTCCTTGCCAGAGAAATTCCATTTGTAGTCATCGCCAGGGTTTTTAGTCCCTTCAAGTTAGACAGCTGTAAGCATATTTCTTCAATGTCCTTCCTAATCGTTGGCTCTCCACCAGTCAGACGGATTTTATCCACCCCAGAGCTGACAAACAGATTACCTAACCGAACAATCTCATTCAGTGAGAGAAGTTGAGGACTAGGAGTAAGCTCCACACCCTCGGCTGGCATACAGTACTGGCAACGTAAATTGCAACGCTCTGTCAATGAGATCCTCAAGTAAGTGTGTAGCCTTCCAAAAGAATCAACTAACATATCAGAAACGGGACTATCTTTCAGAGCATCTTCCGCCAACTTTTCACATAAAGTTGCAAACATCCTTGACAAGGATCCGTTCATATGACCACTTATCAAACCTTGGCCATTATTATTTCCAGATTGGAAGTATGATTTTATTTTACAGTTGGCCTGGTTATGCACAATAGGCACAGAATTAGCCACTTACATTCTAACAAGTCTATTGCAGATAAAGTAGACCCACCAGCAAGCTATGTATCAATCTAATTGAAATCATGGACATGTTTCAGTAGACAACTAAACCAGTAGAATTCAGTTAGATTGAATTATTGCCATGGAAAACAAGAAAACTGATTGTTCCAATGTGGGTGGAAAAAAGGAACAACAAAAGGGAACTATTATTAGATTCATTCAATCAGGAGTAAACAGCAATACACGTACTCAATCATGTATCTATGACAAACTCAACGATACAAAATTTGGCCTCAATTTTTTTCTTTGATTTATTTATTTGTCGATCAATATGAACTCAATATATGTATGACTATAGTGTCATTTATAAAGGAATTCTTTTTGGGATGGTAGGTTGGGGCGGGGCAGATATGTGCTACACTATTATCGACATCTATGATCTGCATCTATCCTCAATGCAACTAATGAAGTATTGTTGTTCCCATTTGGATGGTGGCAAGGTTCATATAATTTTCTTTTCTTTTCTTTCCTTTTGGGTATAACACAATAATGTAATTGGAGAGCAAAAATAAAATAAATAAAACTGATGGCTTGGGATTATGAAGAGCTGATTATTGATATAGTGACAAAAAGTTATTGAATGACCTCGTAGAACAAAATTATTGGCTATGGCACTGCTCAGCCTCCTTTATTGTAAAGCCTAGTTCCGTCCATAGAGCATCTCCAATCCTTACTTTTTTTTAAACTCAAATTTAAATTTAGGTAAAAAACTCTTAAAAACCTTCTCTAATGCTAGACCCATACCCATATTAAATGAAGAGAGACTCATTTTTTTCCTCAAATCAACAAAAACTCAAATCTATACCCAAATATTTAATGGTGAGATTACACCCTGATTTAAAGATCTAATGGTCATATTTTGCCCTCTTTTAAATTTTGGTTTGTCCTTATTTAAATTTGGATTTCTCTTCCTTTAAATTTGAGTTTCTCCGAGGTCTATATCAAGTTTTTTACTTTTTTTTTTAACATATATTTGGGTAAAGGTTTATGTTTCCATTGGAGATTGCCTTACATCAAGGGAACCACGCAAATTTGTTGTGCCTTGCTTATAGTTTGATTTTATTACCTACTTTAATTTTTTGTTGATTGGTTTTTGGTGCATCTCCTTTTTAATTTGCATAAAGAGGGGTAAAAAATTAATTTCGCTATTTTTGTGAGTTCACCCTATTCAGTATGAGCATAATCCATGCAGAAAAAAAAAAAACTATCAAAGTAAAAATCCAATCATGCCAAAGTGTTGTCCCATAATAACCAGAAACTGAATTTCAAAATTCTACATTAAAAATCCAAGAACACGCAATTTGGGCAATTAGTGATATAAATTAAAATGATGATTAATTACCACATGCATGAGGATAAACACAGAAAAAAAAAAAAAAATCATACGTAGGCATAGAACGGATAAAATTGGAACATACCGAGTTAAATCTACGGAACCCCAAATGCCATTCTGTAACGATGGCTATAAAGCGCGGCATGTTCGCAGCTGAATGGAGAAATCTACGAGCTTTGAGTTGGCTGAGACACCTTACAATTCAAAATAAAAATGGCGACACCGGGCCAACGGTTAAAAAAGAAGAGAGAGAGAGATGGCGGCTAATGTTGGTGGCGATAATGAGAAAGGACGGAGAGAAACATATCTATTTTGTCTGTGCGTGAGAGGTTCACATGACAGCCGTCGTTTGCGAAGCTCCCGCGTGCACCANGTGGCGATAATGAGAAAGGACGGAGAGAAACATATCTATTTTGTCTGTGCGTGAGAGGTTCACATGACAGCCGTCGTTTGCGAAGCTCCCGCGTGCACCAGATAGGCAAAAGCCAAACGTTTATTTTAAGTTGAATGACATTTCTGTACCATAACAGAAATTTGAATTTTCAATTTACACCTATAAAAAAAGTAACAATGTAGTTTTAAAATAAATATTTGTTGGTTTCGAAAACTATTTTTTTTGTATTTTTCATATTATTTTACTAGTAATAATCTCGTATTTGAAATTACTGTACAATACCAAAAATTGAGGATTAATTACACAATATTTATATTTTAAATAATAAGATGTGTCACTGGATTAAAATGGATAAAAATCAAATTAACCTTGACATGTTATCGTGTTTTCATAAGTTGAAAATTTAAATTTTGTAAAAATAATATTAGATATATTTCTATGCATAATTATGTTCATGATACTCACTTTTAAAATGTTTTGAATAAATATTTAGTACTTAAATTTTTTTAAGTGAAACACTATTAACTTTTTTATTTAATTGAAAGTGTAATATGAAACTTTTAATTTTTTTACAATATAAATTGAGAATACGAACATTTGTTGGGATATAAAGTGTCATTTGCCTTTTTATTTGTTAACTTTACTAATTATTTATAAACCAACATAATCTTTATCCATTATATCTGATTCTACTTTTATGAAAAATTAACTATAAATTGTAATCTCACCCCTTTCGATTTTAATAATATGGAAAATTGTCTAGTTAATAATGTGAAATCTATTTTTTTTGGAGCAAATTACACAAATAATCCTTAAATTATGACCCNAATAATATGGAAAATTGTCTAGTTAATAATGTGAAATCTATTTTTTTTGGAGCAAATTACACAAATAATCCTTAAATTATGACCCTTGTGTCAATTAAGTTTCTAAACTAATTTTCATGGCAATTGAGCCCCTGAAATCTAATTTTAGCTTGCTCATCGGCTTCGTTTGATGGGTATGAAAGAGGTTTAAGTTTAGAGTTTCGGTTGATGGTTTTAAGGAAAAAAGTTTTTTGTCTAATAAGTTTTGAACGAATAATCTAAAGTACCTCAAATTTGTTGTTCATGTAGTGAACACGTGAAACATTCCATTTAAAAATATAACAGTTATTGACATACGGGCTTAATTGTTAAAATTTTAAAATTTAAGGGCTCAATTAACACAAAAATTAATTCATAGGCTTAATTGCTAAAATTTTAGAATTTAAGAACTTCATTGATACATAAATTAATTTACGGGCTTAATTTGCACAAGGCCCATAGTTTAAAGGCCCATTGTGTAGTTTACTCTCCTTTTTTTTTTGGTGGTGTTGGTTTGTGTTTTTTTAGTGTTGCATGTACATCTGGTCATTAATTGTATAGTATCATAAATTGCTACTCCAGATATTACCCATCGGACAGGAGAGTTTAGGGTTTATAAACAAATACAAATAATTGGTATCATCCTCGACGCAGCCAATTGTATTCAGGGTTTGCAAAATGTTACTATAACTATGTTAACAATAGCAAGTAAGAAAACAATGTCAGCGCAATGCATTTCTTCAATCACAAACCTAACAAGCAGAAGTTATTTTACATTCCATACTGACGGAGACGAAAGCATCACCCACCATAATTCGATTGATGACCTTCACACATAATTGTCAAAGTGAAACTTGGTGTGGCGAGGGAACGAGAATTATGCTGATCACGGAACAAGATTATTTTTTTTTCGCCTTTCCTTTTTTTTTTTGGGGAGATGGAGTGTAACTATAATAAGATTGTAAGAACTACTCAGNACGGAACAAGATTATTTTTTTTTCGCCTTTCCTTTTTTTTTTGGGGAGATGGAGTGTAACTATAATAAGATTGTAAGAACTACTCAGAATTTTCGCCTTTCACTTCATGAATATCTTCTCCGACTGATGCAGTGAAATTACGCCTTTCATCTGAAGTAGCAGTTATAACTGGCATCCATACATCAGCAGTACTACTCAAGAGAGACTGCACTTGTGGATCTGCAGCCATAGCAGATGATATCATCTCATCCACATTGTCCAGCTTTGCTGATAATTTATCCAACTCCTTAGCTATCTCCATCTAATTTGACAACCATTAATATATCAACAAGAAATAAACAATTACTAAACATTATGTCTCTGAACATGGAAAGTGTGGAGACAGTAGAAAGCATAATTTCAGTATTGAATCAAAATGGCTCCAAGTGAATCTCAAACTACCTCATCAAGGTGTTGTGCGGACTTTGAAGGAACTTTTGTAACCTCTAAGCCGAGGGCTTCAATTTTGGCTCGTAATTCAACTTCCTCTTGGTTGGTCAATGATTCCACCTACATGAATTAACTGTTAATAACCTTACCAGAAAGAACAGCTATGGTCTATAGATGCACGCAAATAGTCTTTCGGTAGATGATGACCAGTATTTATACTACTCAATGTTTTAGACAAACTGGGCTCACTCCTTGTTTATAAGTACTTTGCTCCATTTAAGATCTTATCTACTAGAGCAATTACAGATATATGAGCCTTGGAAAATCAAGAACACAGTCCACACCATCAATTGCATTCTTTAGCAGAATATTTGCCACTAATTTCCTTCATCNGCCTTGGAAAATCAAGAACACAGTCCACACCATCAATTGCATTCTTTAGCAGAATATTTGCCACTAATTTCCTTCATCATAAGTTAGTAGAGGGTGTAAATTGAAAATACATATATTCAACCTCTGAACCATCAGGGGAAAAAGTTTTTCCTCCGTCCACAAAACCAAATGCACAATTCAAGCCTGCAAACCTGTATGTTTCACGAGTGTGATGCTTGCAATGCCTGGGAAAGTGTAACACCACATAGTCATGACAATTAATATATATCTTTTGCCCTTTCTTTCTATTTTTTTTTTTTTTTTGGGGGGAGGCAGTCTACCACCAAGTTTTGAAAAATTTCTTAATCTCATATGGAATTTATTTTTTGCCCCCTTCTCCTAAACATTTTGTATTTCCCTCAATGCTCCTTAAAGACCTCTTGGAAATCCTAGATCTGTCCCTGTTTTGAGATGAAGAAAGCTCGGAGGGTCCAACCAACTTGACCAATTATACTAAGTACATAAGCACAAGCATCGTTTCATTTCATTAGGATGNTGAGTACATAAGCACAAGCATCGTTTCATTTCATTAGGATGCACTCTACATGAGATCACTGCTTGCCATGATGTCACCTCCATCAGTTAACACTGGATGAAGTATCTCGTTTGGAATGTTAGCCCATCACGATGACAAACATAGCCATTGCTGGTCATATAAACTTCTTTATGAAAAGTTACATTTATCTGTGCTGATTTCATCAGATTGGAAAATTAAAAGGGGCAGACNATTGCTGGTCATATAAACTTCTTTATGAAAAGTTACATTTATCTGTGCTGATTTCATCAGATTGGAAAATTAAAAGGGGCAGACTAGGAACCGAGTGTATAATTAAGCTCTGGCTTAGCATTATTCATATTCCCAAGCCTGACAGATCAAGCTCTTCCACAGTAAGGTGAATGCTAACAAATACAATGTCTTTGTATAATTAGCAATTCTTCTCACATGATTCCTGAAGTTCAATTTGCCCAGACAGTGAAAATTGGATGAGACGGGTATTAATGCATCAACAGTACGGCTAGGCGCCACAAAGACAAGAAAACAGAAATCAATTGCACATACTCAAGTCCAAATCATCTGCTAGTGGTGTAGGTATAAGCATGATCATATCAACTACTACCTTGGCATCTCAAATCATACTGGACATTGTCAAAAAGCATTAAAAGAATAGGACAAAGCATTCAAAAGATAATGTGTCTATTTAAGTTTTGAATCATAGGGGCTATTACTTTGTTCAATGGTACTATGGATAATGGTTTTTTTATAATTCGAATCATCCGGTTAATTTCACTGCTCTTCAAGGGGAATTCAATCCATCTCAGATATCCCTCAATCAAACAAAACCCATATTAAACCAATAGCAAGATCAAACATTCAAATTTGCCCCCGAACAAGTAAATCCCCATTCAATTCTCAAACATACTGAAAACCCAAACTAAAAAACCAATCAATTGAAATACCCAGATCAGAAATTGCATCAAAAAATTCAAAAATTAATCGAAACTTCTTTAATTTTACATACTCTACCTGCACATAAACCGACCGACAAAACAAGGAAGTGAAGAAATGTTGTTGTACCTGCTGGAGAAGACCGGAGAGGAGCCCAAAGAGTTGAGCGTCCGGTGGCGGTGCTTTGCTTTCTCCAGCCATTTGATTCTTAGATGATTCCTTAATTGTTTTGCTGGGTTGGGTCTGATCTGATCTGCACTTTTCTCTCTCCTCGNTTGAGCGTCCGGTGGCGGTGCTTTGCTTTCTCCAGCCATTTGATTCTTAGATGATTCCTTAATTGTTTTGCTGGGTTGGGTCTGATCTGATCTGCACTTTTCTCTCTCCTCGTTCTTCTGTCAATAATCAATATACACGGGGAAGGGCAGTTGCGATATCTTCGGAAAATAATTTGGGGGTAAATGGCACTTTGCCCCTTCAAAGTTTTTAAATATTTATTTTGGCCTCTCGGATGAAACTATTTTCAGATCCCGTTGACGCCAGCTGCCATTTATGTTCCATTTAATCTCAATCTCAGCCACAATTTTCAGGTTTCAGTTGAGATTTATCCACTTTACGTCAAAGTACACAAAAATTAGTACCTTTGAGTAGGNAGCCACAATTTTCAGGTTTCAGTTGAGATTTATCCACTTTACGTCAAAGTACACAAAAATTAGTACCTTTGAGTAGGGTTGGTATTGGCTTCTTCCTTTGTCTATCTATACTCCACTTTATTTATAAATTTTGTATAATCGAGTTCGTATTTTATTTAGTTGAATTCAAATTAATCCATTAATTTGATGGGTTTAATAAATCTACTTGTTTATCATCTAAACTATCGTTCCGTGTAATTTTTGTGTTAATTTTGTTAATCATATCTAGAAGGGTAAATTATGGATTACCGCCTTGTGTTTTGCCTCATTTATACATTACCTATAGTTTTAAAACCTGCATATAGCCTGCTTCGGACTTAATTAAGTATTATTTTACAATAANAGTTGAGATTTATCCACTTTACGTCAAAGTACACAAAAATTAGTACCTTTGAGTAGGATTGGTATTGGCTTCTTCCTTTGTCTATCTATACTCAACTTTATTTATAAATTTTGTATAATCGAGTTCGTATTTTATTTAGCTGAATTCAAATTAATCCATTAATTTGATGGATTTAATAAATCTACTCGTTTATCGTCTAAACTATCGTTCCGTGTAATTTTTGTGTTAATTTTGTTAATTATATCTAGAAGGGTAAATTATGGATTATCGCCTTGTGTTTTGCCTCATTTATACATTACCTATAGTTTTAAAACCTACATATAGCCTGCTTCGGACTTAATTAAGTATTATTTTACAATAGAAATAATAGGGTGAATGTTTAATCAAAAAAATTTGAAATACATTTTTATGCCTTGAAACGTATCTCACATCGATCAGGTAGTAAAAGTGGCAGCCAACACACGCCTGTAAAATATAGTAAAAGCTTTTTGTTTGTTGTACATGTGGGTGAGACCCATAGGTGGAAAGCTTTTTCTTAAGGTGAGTGCACAACAAGTGCGAATTTAAGAAAGCGGGTTTTTTAGGTGTTTGAATTTATATCGAACTCTCTCTTAATTCAAGAATTTACGGTCTGAGTGATGAAGCGTAAGGGCTAAGTGGCGAATTGTGTGACTAAGAACCCAACCCTAAACATTGATCCCCAAATGACCCAACAGTTCCAGTCTCCTTTTAGTACCCATCTTGNTGAAGCGTAAGGGCTAAGTGGCGAATTGTGTGACTAAGAACCCAACCCTAAACATTGTTCCCCAAATGACCCAACAGTTCCAGTCTCCTTTTAGTACCCATCTTCTTTTATTCTCCTCTATCATCTCACCTGCTGTCTCTTTTCCTCTGCTGATCACAAGTTCACAGTTTTTTTCCTTTTGTTTGGATTGTTGCATGAGTACATTTTTACTGGGACTATATAGGTCTCCAGATTTTTTTGATAAATAAATTAGAGCTCTGTGTTGTAATCTATATATGCTGCATGTGTCGGTTTGCAGCTCTTGTTTGAGAAACAGACATGTGTGAGACGCCTAAGTGTTGGAGGAGATAGAAACATGGTAGTGAGAGAGAGTGAGAGAGAGTAGTTGGTGGGTCTATTGGAAGAAATGAAGCCATTCACAACTGTGTTGAGGTTTTGATGCAAATTGAGAGAGAAAGAGAGAGAGTGTGTTGCATGTGTAGATATGTGAATGAATGTAAGACATGAGAGATGGATTCATATACCCCCATACAAGTGTAGAGAAGGAGAGGGAGTGTGTGTCGCNAGACATGAGAGATGGATTCATATACCCCCATACAAGTGTAGAGAAGGAGAGGGAGTGCGTGTCGCGTGTGTGGGACGCACACACACACATAGAANAGAAAGAGAGAGAGTGTGTTGCATGTGTAGATATGTGAATGAATGTAAGACATGAGAGATGGATTCATATACCCCCATACAAGTGTAGAGAAGGAGAGGGAGTGTGTGTCGCGTGTGTGGGACGCACACACACACAGAGAGAGAGAGAGAGAGAGAGAGAGAGAGAGCTGCAAGTGCAAATTGAGTATGAATCTGTGTCTGAATATGAAAGGCAGTAGAGGAGGTGGAAAGTAAAGAAGTTGAAACGGTTTGGTTATGAGTACAGTTTTGTTCAAAATTGTGCAATTGGAGGACCTTATCTTTTATTTTCCTCCTCTCAGGTAGTTAGGATTGGCCTATGGACTGTAGTAATGATAGAATTTCATCTTGATTGGGATCTAGACCATCTAGCAAACCGTTGGCTGTATTCATATGTTCCAATAAGTTGCAATTGGACTTGGTACATCTTTAAGCAAAACTCAGCAAAACTGTTAAACGGGTAATAAGTAAAAGAACATGTAAACTCATACGCAATCTGTTTAATAAACTGGATAAAAACTTCAACACGAACACGAACTGTTTAATAAATGGATAACACGACACATCTCGTTTAATCTGCTTAATTTTAATTTATTATTAGTTTATTATATATATTTTCTCTGGCTGTTACTAAAAAAAATCTGCCTAATTTTTAAAAATAATTATTAATTTATTATTATATTAATTTTATTTAAACGGGTGATAAATAAGTTGACAGAATTCACCCAAATACGATTCATTAATTAAATGTGTCTGACAGATCAATCCGTTTATCACCCAAACTCGTTCAAGTCTCACCCAAACCTATTTAATTTATGTCAATTTGTGTCGATTAATCGTATAGTGTCAAATTTTGACATGCTATTACTTACAGCCTAAGCAAAGGATTTCATCGTCCACTGAGATGTTTCATCTCTCTCTCACTAACCTCCTCTCGGTTGACAAAATATGGTATGNAAAACAAGGAGAGAGAGAGAGAGAGAGCGAGAGAGAGTTGACTTCAAATATTTTAATCTCTCCCTGCCTTCCCGGCAATCTTGCAGTATCCACACAAAATTGTCAAATGAAAGCACAAAGGTGACAACAATAAACAATAAGTTTTGAAAAGTACATTTTTGTTTCTTTCTTGTTTTGTGGGAGGTGGATCGAGCCCCTCTTCCATGTTTTTTTATCATTTATCTCAATGACAAATCATATAATCTCAATGGCACCCATTTAATTTTAGCAGCTAGGTTTCTCTAGAGCTGAGACTGAATGATCTTTCAATGAAAAAACAGAAGAATACACAAATTCAGTTTTATAACTTACAATAATCAAACTTCATAAGACACTCAGGAAATATTTATTTGAATGCACAACCTAACACTGTCAAACCATAGCAACAAAGTAAATCCCAATGGGAGGAAAATCAAGGGAAAGAGAAAACATAAACCAAATCATGAGTTTGACAAGAACAATTATACACGTTTGTAAAAAAATTTCAATGCTTTTTTCTACTCAAGAATTCTTGTAGAGAGAGAAGTGAAAGAGAAAGAGATGAGTTTATTTTAGAAAAAAAAAAACTTATGATTGGTCAATTTTTTTATGACAAATTTTTGTTCAAAACCATAAAAAGGTGCGAGGTTTAAAAAAGTACTAAAGTGTTACGGACAAAAACCACGAGCCGATGAAAAAGTAGTTTACCCAATTAAATCGAGGATAGATTGTGCCGTTTGGAGACGTATTTGCGCTAGAAGTTGAGTTGTTTCCAATTCGATTTGGGCCTGAATTTGAACTTCACGAATCAAATCCTCTTCTGATTGTTGAATTGGGATTTCTTCATCATTCACACAATCCAAATGAGTATTGTAATCACACTTGTGACAATGGTAGACCCANTTGGGCTTTCTTCATCAGTAACACAATCCAAATCAGTATTGTAATCACACTTGTGAATGGTAGACCCAAGAGATTTCATGAATAGCTTGATGACAAACATCACACAAGACCAGTGAATCTTCTTCTTCTTCTTCTGCAACATTTTTGTGTTGAGAGGAATAGAGGAGAGTTAATGGGTGTTCATGATCTTCTCTTTTCACAGTTTCAGGCAAGCTTACACAATCAACATGGAGGTCAAATGTGCAGATTGAGCAATTGTAGGTGAAAGCTCCGCCATTTTTGAGGCAGGCATTGCAGGTGAACTCACCATCTGCTTTGTAAGGTGGGGATGAGAGAAGGGTGAGAGGGTGATCAAGGTGAGATTTATGTTGGATCTTTATTGGCAGTTTGAAGCATGACTTGTGGAGAGAGAATGTGCATTGAGACTCGGTGCAAATGTAAGCGAAATCTGAGAGGTTTTTCTCACACCCCGAACAAGTTTTTGCACCATTCTCTTCAACTTTTGACAGATTCAAGGTATGGTCATGGCTAAAATGCTTCCGCCCTCTTCTTTGTTCTTGACTCTCCACTATGCCCGAAACTGGCGTTGCCTCGTTAGAGTCGGACCTCGAGGGTATCCCAATACACGAGGCACCTAATCCGCCATTGAAAATNAGGGTTAGTTTCAAGGGGGGTGGTTTTGGTCATGTAGGCACAATGGACATGAAGATCAAACTCACAATCAGAACAAGTGTAGGAAAAGCCAGTTCCAATTTGGTTGAAGGAATTGCAGAAAAAGGAAGTGGAGGGTAAGTTGGATAGGGGACTAGGGTTAGAGGATGAAGGGGGTGAGATTGGTGTTTCATGGAGCGGTTGGCCTGAAAGCACTGTTCATGAAGAAAGTAGCTGCATTGGCGGCAAGCATACACGGTGCCGGAACCGGTGCCGGGAAGGTTACAACCTGAGCAATGGATTTGGGTCCCTGGTGGCACTTGGTGGTGAATAAGGTTATGGGTGTGGCTGAAATGCTTGTACTCCATCTCTCTCTCGCTCTCTCAGCCAGGCAAGAAAATCAACTAATACATAGATATCACACTACTTGCTCACAGGCAAGCAAGTTGAAACTTTGAAATCTACATTTTAGTTTTTTTGCCAATGGGGTGTCTAGACCAGTTTCATATTTAGACTAATTTTTTTTTTGGTCTAATTAAAGACAGGTCATTCATATCAGAATTAAGGTATTTATAAAAGATAAATCTTTCATATCCTGATCCCAAGAGATTGTCAAAATTTAAACTCAAAATATTTGAATTTACAGTTTGTTTCTATTACCACTTGATCTATCTTTGCGGTTAGCTTTGAAATCTATTGATTGATTAGGATGCCAACTCATATGATTCCTTAGTTAGATGTGTTTTTGACTTTATCATTTTGCAATTGTAAGTTACTTGGAATTTTCACATTCATACACTTTGTTCAAGAGTAGAACATGTCAACATGATCAATCTGCGTAAACCCACTGCACATTGGATGGGTTGGCAATTGTTGACTTTTTGTGTGGAGTTCCTTCATTTGCTGCTTTTATTTGACCAGTCAGCATAGGATGCTAGTCGCTATAGCATGCCGTGGACATTTGTTACGATATTCCACATCCACTTAGGTGTATGGTATATGAACTTATTGACACTCTCCCAAACAATACGATTCTTTAAAATGAGTTCTATCCATCTATTAATATTAATTTTAATCGGACTTAATCACCACGTCAAGTATTTACGAAATCAAATGTAATATGAATTATAACTCTTTGTGGTCAAGACATACAAAGAGTAACTTATATGCTAAAATGATGTCAATTGTTAGGGTTTCGACATATTAAATATGAACAGTAAGCCTTAGACACACATAAATACAAGCATACATTAAGTACGAGTCTTAGTCATTCAATTCAATGGTTACAATAAATTAATGGATTAATAAATTATATAAGTAAATTAAGTTCAAATAATATTCTTGTTGAACTTCTTGGATTTTTTCGATTATCATATGATGTTGAGTAAAATAGTAAAAATTTGTGTATTCTATCTTTACATGTTTATTAAAAAAAAGAGAATAAGCTTTAAAAATAATGAGACCACAGGAATGTGCTCGGTGGCATTGGTCTCATCCCATTTTTTTTTTAACTGTTAGGAGTGTGCAGATTAATTTATGTACATCTTGATTAATCCTCTTTTTGGTCCGGACAAAGTAGGACATCTACACCGGAACTAGGGTATTCATGTAGAGTAAATCACTTGTGATCTGACTTTTAATATTGTCAAAATTCAAACTCAAATTTCATCCCATTAATCGCCAATGCCCTTTCTCAAAAAGTAGTAATGAATTTTTTGTGAAGTGGACAAACAGGTACGTGAAATTAATTGCCGACCAAAATTATTCCAATAGATAGATAATGAAAAACCCAAATCAAAGAAAGAAAATCAACAAAAAAAACCCCAAGATCAATAACAAATACAACCTCCAACGTCCAACCACAAGATCACGAACTGCCAAAAACCTAAACCAGGTTGGCCAAACTATGTGCAATGCTGGCCATGAATTGTGCGTTTTGGTTAGCCATTTGCATCTGAATCTGAAGCCTTTGCAACTCCATCTGAGCCTCAAGAACTGAACTCGTTTCTGATTCTCCTTCTGGGCATTCCTCATCTGCTACACAATCCACATGAGTCCCATAATCACATTCTTTACAGTAATAAACCCAGCAACTTTCTTGGACTGAACTATGGCAAACATCACAAGCAAAGATCAAGTTCTCTTTCCCTTCTTCCCCATTTTTGCAAGGAGAGGAAAACAGAACTTTGAGTGGGTGTTCATGATCTTTGCGGTTCATAGTCTCCGGCAAGGTGGCACAGTCGACGTGGAGGTCAAATTTGCAAATTGAGCAGTGGTAGACAAAATCAGTGCCAGTTTTGAAACAAGCATTGCAAGTGAAGGCACCATCGGCTTTGTATGGTGGGGTTGGGAGGAGCACAAGAGGGTGGTTGGGATGAGATTTGTGCTGAATCTCTTCCGTCAAATTGTGGTGGTTCCACTGCTGCCCGGGGCGGCCGTTAGCCACCAATGGGTCTTGCTCACCACCGGAAGAAACCGTCAAACCTTCCTTGATCACCTCTTCAGATGGATTAAAGGAATGGGGATGACTGTGATTCTTTGTGTCCTGTATCTTCATTTGATTGTTTTTATGGTATAGAACCTTCCCTGGCTGATCGGCCGGTGGCGGTGGTGGCGGTGGCATCTGAGAACTAGCAGCAAAGTCTAGGGCATTAACACCAGGCAAAGTTTGAGGCATGCAAGTATATTGAGCATTAAACGTTGGTGTTTCATTGGGCATAAACTTACTTTGGTAAGGGCCATAGGGATGATATGATTCGAGGGTGGGCTTAAAAGTTGGTGTTTCATTTGGGATAGGCTGATTTTGGTAAGGGCCATAGGGATGAGATTCAAGGGTGGGCCTTAACGTCTCAGTTTGGTTGTTCCATTGTGACTTAGAAGTTAATGGTAAGCCTGTGTACATCTGAGGTTCCCTAGGACCCGGAATAATATGATGAGTCTCGTACACTAAGCCTCCATAAGGTCGAGATACATGGGGTGTGGTTTGAGTAATGCAAGCACAATGGACATGGAGATCAAATTCACATTCTGAACAGCTATAAGAAAAACCAGTTCCAATTTGGCTACAAGAATTGCAGAAGAAGGAATTAGAAGGATAGGTTGGATATGGGACAAGGGTTAGAGGGTGGGTGGGGTGATATGGGTGTTTCATGGATCGGCTTGCTTGAAAGCACTGTTCATGAAGAAAGAAATTGCATTGCCAGCATACATAGACACATCCTGAACCAGAAGAGTTGCAACCTGAGCAATGGATTTCTGAACCTTGTGGCATCTGGTGGAAAAGTAGGTCATGGGTGTGGCTGAAATGCTTGTACTGATCCATCTCTCTCTCTCTCAATGTCAATATGTATGTTGGGTACGTTTGATGGGAAAAAACTATGTATCATATAGGTTCTCCAGCAAGGAGGTATGCAAGTTGAAGCTTTGTACTCCACCAATGGGTAAACGCTCAGGAGGCCAACGTATAAGATTTCACACCTCCTAGTGGTGTTTAATTTGACTTGATTATCCAGCAAAGACACAAAACTACAAGGCTTCTTCTTCCAGGAAATTCCCACAAAAAATGGAGATACATATCTAAGTTGAGGATTGACAGCTGTAAATTTTGGTACGGTTTAATTAATGACTGTGTAATAATTGGTTATAAATATAAATAAATATATAAAATAATAAAAATTTACAAATATCAAAATTTTATTGAATTAAAAGTAAAAATAGAATACCTAAAAATAATTTTTTTGGTACAAGACCAAGATTTCACTATGCTATTACGCTGCATTTGTGACTGGACTGCTTACATCGCATAATTAGCTACTTTGACTTTTATGCTCAGTGCCCAACTCATTCAAAGTCTGACTAATCAATGGGTGCCAATGGTTGGAAGAAAGTGCATAGTTAATGACGGAAGAGTAATCCTGAAACAAACCTCCCTCCTCAGTATTGTGGGGTGCTGTTGATTTAAACGGTACAATTTTGTATATAAAATGACGTGATATTATATAAAAAAACGATATCGTTTAAGTGAACAGCACTTGTGCAGTGCTATAGAGAGCTGTACTGTCCCCCCACCCCCTTCTTTCTCTCTGGCTTTTTTTTTTTCCTTCCTCTTTTTGGGTGTAAGCGGAATAATAAACGTTTGACTTCCCCTACCTTCATTTTGTCTTTACTTTTAGCATTCTCCGTTGACTTTGTTGTTTATGAAATTGTAGAGAAATATTTTTACCTATAAAGTTTACAAATATAGTTTTTTGTCTGAATTTTGATGGTGTTACAGGATAACAATAGGGCATGGTCTTTTTTTTTTAAAAAAAAGAATGTGAGTGGTAGGCACCTGCTTATATAGTTTTTTTTTTTTGTTAAGTAAATAAAATGTGAGGCAAAATAGAGCGTCCAGAGACCATCCTAATAGGTTCTCATTAGTGAGATTATGAGACTTCTAACCGCACCCTGTTACTTCTCTCAAGAATGAATCTAATTAGACTAATATAACGATTAACTATCGAACTCCAAAACTCGAACTTTCAATCTCAAGATAAGAAGTTCGACTGATATTATATGATTTGTTTCTAATTAATCAATCATTCAATATACTAATGAAATAGTTACAATGAAATCATATCATTAAATCAATAAATTAGATTATATTTTTATGTTTAAACAGTATTACTTCATAAAAATTACTCCTTTTTTCCTAAGACAATAGTTCACCTAACTAGTCAATTAGATTAGCACCTAAAACACCCAGAAAAGGAGAAAGAAAGGAAGCCCAACACAAATAACTCTAAAAGGAATCAAAAATACAAAGCATCCATCCAATCTTTAAAACATATATTGTCAAATTCTTACAACCCAAACAAGCATCTTGTTGAAAATGAGGATTATTTATTCTTGCTAGTATTTTTAGTCCTTAATATGTATATATATTTTTTCAGTTTAGTTTTCATTGTTTTAATTTTGTCAATTTGATCTATAAAATATTCAATTCCTAATATTTTGGTCCCTAAATAAAAAGACCGTTAAATTTTGATGGAATGATCATATATTGAACACGTGATACCGTCTAAAAAAATGATACGTGGTCACTTCAGTTAAAAAATTTGACGAATTGTTTAATTAGGAACTAAAGTGACATAAATTAAATATTTTAGGGACTAAATTGATAAAATTGATAAATCAGAACTAAACTAATATAAAATATATATTAGGATGAATTTTATTTTGCACCTTAAAAGATTTTAAGTTTCCCACTTTATACCCACAAAAAATAAATTTTTAACATTACACCATCAATGTATCAAAAATGTTGCAATGTGACTCTTATATTAATTTTTTTGTCAGTGTCAATGATTTGACTTTTAACGCAAAAAATAATGAAAGTTAATAAAAAGGTCACATTGCAATACCTTTANATTTGACTTTTAACGCAAAAAATAATGAAAGTTAATAAAAAGGTCACATTGCAATACCTTTAAAATATTAAATATGTAATATAAAAAATTTAATCTTTGAGGATATAAAATAAAAAATTTAAAATCTTTTAAGGTAAAAAGTGTAAAAAAACCCTAAATAAGGAGCAAAAATATTATTTACTCTTTATTCTATATCATATTCCGGGAATAAACACCTCATGGACGGTAATTCCAAGTCGCAAGTCTTGAAATCATTTCTGCTCTGTTCATCTGGATCTGTAGCCTCATCAGAGAGAGCTGGTTTTCCGTCATCTCATTCACTGCTTCCTTCAAAGGATTCGCAGCCTCACCCGGCGTCTCCGACTGCTGACCAGCCACCGCTCCGCCACTTGATCCACCACCGGCCGCCTCAGTCACTGGCAAACGTAGTCCCGGAGGCTTTACACACTTCAAGTGTGTCCCAAAATCACAACCAGCACAGTAGTACACCCACTGCCTCTTGTCCACCGCCACGCCACACACATCACATCCAAAAACGACATTCTTATCATTGAACGGAGTCTGCTGATTAAGATCAAAGATGAGTTTGAGTTCATGGGGGTGTTCATCAACAATAAGTGTGGTCTGCAAAGAGGCGCAGTGGAGGTGAAGATCAAACTGACAATGAGCACAGCTATAGCTGAAGGAATGGCCTTCAGAACCACAAGCATTGCAAGAGTAGAATCCATTAGAATAGGTTGGAAATGGGATGAGGGTTAAGGGGTGAGAAAGGTGAGATGGGTGTTCAAGAGAGCGAGGAATGTTGATGCAGTGGTCATGGAGGTAGTGATTGCATTGGAGGCAGCCATGGAAGGGTTCAAAGATGAGTGTTTCACAGGTTTTGCAGTGGATTTGTTCTCCTTCATCGAGTTTGAGCGGGATTAAGAGGTGGTGGTGGCTGAAATGTTGGTAGTTTTGATGTTCAACTCTCATCTCGCTCTCTCTCTCCCCTGTGTGTGTGAATCATTGTGGAGATGCTGTCATGATTAAATAAAGCTTCCACAAGCAAATCTTACAGTTTTTTCCTGGTGTGGGTTAAATCTTAAAAGATATCTTCTGGGAAACTACTGATAGAAAGACAAAGTCAAACTTAGTAAGATATCTTCTAGGCGACGACTATTTACTCGAGCTTAGTTCGAGAATTTAAAATTTTTCCAGTTGCATTTCTAATTTTAAACTTTATATCCTCAGTTTTAAATCATAGAAAATCAAGTTTAGTTTAGGAGAAAATTGAAACATGAAGTACAAATTTCATACTTTCTTTATTTCTCTCTCTCTCTCTGTCGTTTGATTTGGGTTGTGTAGGTTCATGGGAACATGAGTATGAAGAATGTTAATTGAAGGTAATTCGTTGATATAATTTATTAATTTAATTCATCATAATTACTAAATTGATTGTAATTAAGTCCCAAAGGCTTAAGAAAGAAACAATGAAGTCCAGGATGACCCGAGACATTTTGTGGCTTAAAATAAAAATAATAAATAAGGTGTTTTAACATTAATAATAAATTTTTTTAATTTTTTAAAATAAAAAATATTAATTAAGACTTGATATTTAAGCTTTTGTTATCATAATTGAGCTTTCTGATGAGAGAGAAAGGGGTAGANAAAATTTTAATTTTTTAAAATAAAAAATATTAATTAAGACTTTATATTTAAGCTTTTGTTATCATAATTGAGCTTTCTGATGAGAGAGAAAGGGGTAGAGAAAGTGTGATTAAAAATTATGATGGTTAGCTTGATTTTTTTTTAATATATAATGACCAAAACAATTTATTTTTTTAGGGTTAAGATTTTTAGTATTTTTTGTTTTACTGTTAATTTATTTTAAAAAAATTAAATTTTAGGATTTTTTAATTTTATGAGCTAAATTAATTGGCTCAAACTTCACTTTCTCGCTCCTTGTTCCTCTGTCAATATACATGGATGGGAAGGGAAGAGTTTGGCGCGTCACTTTCACGTACCTTCAATTGCGATATCTTGGGAAAATAATATGGCCGTAAATAGCATTTTGCCCCTTCAAAGTTTTTAAAATTTTATTTTGGCCTCTCGGATGAAACTATTTTCAGATCTAGTTGGCGCCCGCTAGGGCTGTTAAACTATCCCTGCGGCTCAGGCTTGGCTCGGTTTTAGTTCGGCTTAAGTTTGCTCATGAGTTGAATCTGAATAAATTTTTAGACTCATTTAGCATTCGAGTTAAGCCCAAGTTATTCACGAGCCGACTCGTTTTATCTTCTTGTACGTAATAAATATAAAAATTATATCAGATCTTAAAGTTATTTCAGTAAAATTAACAAAAAATTTAAGTTTGCATATTTTTGTTGTGATTTAAATGTATTTTATGCTCAAATTTGTGTTAAAAATATAGATTTTTATGCGTTTTTCTGAATTTTTTTGATTGGATATTTGAAATTTATGGATTTAAATTTTTTTTTTTGCATGACTTGTTTTTGACTAGAGCTCAACTCGAATTTGATATAAACTAAACTTAAACAATATTTTAAGCTTGATAGGCTAGCTTAAACAATCATTGAATAGCACAAGCCGNTGCATGACTTGTTTTTGACTTTAGCTCAACTCGAATTTGATATAAACTAAACTTAAACAATATTTTAAGCTTGATAGGCTAGCTTAAACAATCATTGAATAGCACAACCCGTGCATGAGCATAGTCAAACTCAAAATACTCGATTCGATTAANTTGCATGACTTGTTTTTGACTAGAGCTCAACTCGAATTTGATATAAACTAAACTTAAACAATATTTTAAGCTTGATAGGCTAGCTTAAACAATCATTGAATAGCACAACCCGTGCATGAGCATAGTCAAACTCAAAATACTCGATTCGATTAACACTCCTAACTTCAGCCTCCATTTATATTCCATGTAATCACATTCTCAGACACAATTTTTAGATTTCAGTTGAGATTTACCCACTTTATGTCAAAGTACAAAACTTAATACCTTTGAGTAGGGTTGGNAGCCGTGCATGAGCATAGTCAAACTCAAAATACTCGATTCGATTAACACCCCTAACTTCAGCCTCCATTTATATCCCATGTAATCACATTCTCAGATACAATTTTTAGATTTCAGTTGAGATTTACCCACTTTATGTCAAAGTACAAAACTTAATACCTTTGAGTAGGGTTGGTAATGGCTTGAGCCTCGTTAGATTTGCATTAAAATTTGTTAAATCTATATTCAACTTATTTATAATCTTGTATAATCGAGTTTTTNTAATACCTTTGAGTAGGGTTGGTAATGGCTTGAGCCTCGTTAGATTTGCATTAAAATTTGTTAAATCTATATTCAACTTATTTATAATCTTGTATAATCGAGTTTTTATTTTATTTAGTTGAATTCATATTAATCCATTAATTAGATAGGTCTAATGAATCTATTGGTTTATCGTCTAAACTAACGCTCCACATGATTTTGTGCTAGTTTTGTGAATCACATCTTGAAGAAAAATTATGAATTATCCCTTATAGTTTGTCTTGTTTATACATTATCTCTTTATATTTTTAAAACTTACATATAATTCGCTGATGTTTTGGACTCATGTAAAAAATTAAGTTGCGTTTGGCGTAACTTCTTAAAATTAGTTTCTCAATCTCACTTGACGGTAAGTCTCGTGAACGCATCTAAATTGGGAAAATATTTTCCACCATAATTGATCATTTTAATACCCAATATGCCATTTTATTCAAAATAAAACCCAACCCTGAACATTGTTCTCCAAAAGACCCAACAATTCCTGTCTCCTTCCAGTACCCATCTTCTTTTANCTTGCTCACAGGCAAGCAAGTTGAAACTTTGAAATCTACATTTTAGTTTTTTTGCCCATGGGGTGTCTGGACCAGTTTCATATTTAGACTAATTTTTTTTTTTGGTCTAATCAAAAGCAGGTCATTCATATCAGAATTAAAGTATTTATAAAAGATAAATATTTTATATCCTGATCCCAAGAGATTGTCAAAATTTAAACTCAAAATATTTGAATTTACAGTTTATTTTTATTACCACTTGATCTATCTTTGCGGTTAGCTTTGAAATCTATTGATTGATTAGGATGCCAACTCATGTGATTCCTTAGTTAGATGTGTTTTTGACTTTATCATTTTGCATTTGTAAGTTACTTGGAATTTCCACATTCATACACTTTGTTCAAGAGTAGAACATGTCAACATGATCAATCTGCGTAAACCCACTGCACATTGGATGGGTTGGCAATTGTTGACTTTTTGTGTGAAATTCCTTCATTTGCTGCTTTTATTTGACCAGTCAGCATAGGATGCTAGTCGCTATAGCATGCCGTGGACATTTGTTACGATATTCCACATCCACTTAGGTGTATGGTATATGAACTTATTGACACTCTCCCAAACAATACGATTCTTTAAAATGAGTTCTATCCATCTATTAATATTAATTTTAATCGGACTTAATCACCACGTCAAGTATTTACGAAATCAAATGTAATATGAATTGTAACTCTTTGTGGTCAAGACATACAAAGAGTAACTTATATGCTAAAATGATGTCAATTGTTAGTGTTTCGACATATTAAATATGAACAGTATGCCTTAGACACACATAAATACAAGCATACATTAAGTACGAGTCCTAGTCATTCAATTCAATGGTTACAATAAATTAATGGATTAATAAATTATATAAGTAAATTAAGTTCAAATAATATTCTTATTGAACTTCTTGGGNAATAAATTAATGGATTAATAAATTATATAAGTAAATTAAGTTCAAATAATATTCTTGTTGAACTTCTTGGATTTTTTCGATTATCATATGATGTTGAGTAAAATAGTAAAAATTTGTGTATTCTATCTTTACATGTTTATTAAAAAAAAGAGAATAAGCTTTAAAAATAATGAGACCACAGGAATGTGCTCGGTGGCATTGGTCTCATCCCATTTTTTTTTAACTGTTAGGAGTGTGCGGATTAGTTTATGTACATCTTGATTAATCCTCTTTTTGATCCGGACAAAATAGGACATCTACACCGGAACTAGGGTATTCATGTAGAGTAAATCACTTGTGATCTGACTTTTAACATTGTCAAAATTCAAACTCAAATTTCATCCCATTAATCGCCAATGCCCTTTCTCANATGTAGAGTAAATCACTTGTGATCTGACTTTTAACATTGTCAAAATTCAAACTCAAATTTCATCCCATTAATCGCCAATGCCCTTTCTCAAAAAGTAGTAATGAATTTTTTGTGAAGTGGACAAACAGGTACGTGAAATTAATTGCCGACCAAAATTATTCCAATAGATAGATAATGAAAAACCCAAATCAAAGAAAGAAAATCAACAAAAAAAACCCCAAGATCAATAACAAATACAACCTCCAACGTCCAACCACAAGATCACGAACTGCCAAAAACCTAAACCAGGTTGGCCAAACTATGTGCAATGCTGGCCATGAATTGTGCGTTTTGGTTAGCCATTTGCATCTGAATCTGAAGCCTTTGCAACTCCATCTGAGCCTCAAGAACTGAACTCGTTTCTGATTCTCCTTCTGGGCATTCCTCATCTGCTACACAATCCACATGAGTCCCATAATCACATTCTTTACAGTAATAAACCCAGCAACTTTCTTGGACTGAACTATGGCAAACATCACAAGCAAAGATCAAGTTCTCTTTCCCTTCTTCCCCATTTTTGCAAGGAGAGGAAAACAGAACTTTGAGTGGGTGTTCATGATCTTTGCGGTTCATAGTCTCCGGCAAGGTGGCACAGTCGACGTGGAGGTCAAATTTGCAAATTGAGCAGTGGTAGACAAAATCAGTGCCAGTTTTGAAACAAGCATTGCAAGTGAAGGCACCATCGGCTTTGTATGGTGGGGTTGGGAGGAGCACAAGAGGGTGGTTGGGATGAGATTTGTGCTGAATCTCTTCCGTCAAATTGTGGTGGTTCCACTGCTGCCCGGGGCGGCCGTTAGCCACCAATGGGTCTTGCTCACCACCGGAAGAAACCGTCAAACCTTCCTTGATCACCTCTTCAGATGGATTAAAGGAATGGGGATGACTGTGATTCTTTGAGTCCTGTATCTTCATTTGATTGTTTTTATGGTATAGAACCTTCCCTGGCTGATCGGCCGGTGGCGGTGGCATCTGAGAACTAGCAGCACAGTCTGGGGCATTAACACCAGGCAAAGTTTGAGGCATGCAAGTATATTGAGGATTAAACGTTGGTGTTTCATTGGGCATAGACTTACTTTGGTAAGGGCCATAGGGATGATATGATTCGAGGGTGGGCTTAAAAGTTGGTGTTTCATTTGGGATAGGCTGATTTTGGTAAGGGCCATAGGGATGAGATTCAAGGGTGGGCCTTAACGTCTCAGTTTGGTTGTTCCATTGTGACTTAGAAGTTAATGGTAAGCCTGTGTACATCTGAGGTTCCCTAGGACCCGGAATAATATGATGAGTCTCGTACACTGAGCCTCCATAAGGTCGAGATACATGGGGTGTGGTTTGAGTAATGCAAGCACAATGGACATGGAGATCAAATTCACATTCTGAACAGCTATAAGAAAAACCAGTTCCAATTTGGCTACAAGAATTGCAGAAGAAGGAATTAGAAGGATAGGTTGGATATGGGACAAGGGTTAGAGGGTGGGTGGGGTGATATGGGTGTTTCATGGATCGGCTTGCTTGAAAGCACTGTTCATGAAGAAAGAAATTGCATTGCCAGCATACATAGACACATCCTGAACCAGAAGAGTTGCAACCTGAGCAATGGATTTCTGAACCTTGTGGCATCTGGTGGAAAAGTAGGTCATGGGTGTGGCTGAAATGCTTGTACTGATCCATCTCTCTCTCTCTCAATGTCAATATGTATGTTGGGTACGTTTGATGGGAAAAAACTATGTATCATATAGGTTCTCCAGCAAGGAGGTATGCAAGTTGAAGCTTTGTACTCCACCAATGGGTAAACGCTCAGGAGGCCAACGTATAAGATTTCACACCTCCTAGTGGTGTTTAATTTGACTTGATTATCCAGCAAAGACACAAAACTACAAGGCTTCTTCTTCCAGGAAATTCCCACAAAAAATGGAGATACATATCTAAGTTGAGGATTGACAGCTGTAAATTTTGGTACGGTTTAATTAATGACTGTGTAATAATTGGTTATAAATATAAATAAATATATAAAATAATAAAAATTTACAAATATCAAAATTTTATTGAATTAAAAGTAAAAATAGAATACCTAAAAATAATTTTTTTGGTACAAGACCAAGATTTCACTATGCTATTACGCTGCATTTGTGACTGGACTGCTTACATCGCATAATTAGCTACTTTGACTTTTATGCTCAGTGCCCAACTCATTCAAAGTCTGACTAATCAATGGGTGCCAATGGTTGGAAGAAAGTGCATAGTTAATGACGGAAGAGTAATCCTGAAACAAACCTCCCTCCTCAGTATTGTGGGGTGCTGTTGATTTAAACGGTACAATTTTGTATATAAAATGACGTGATATTATATAAAAAAACGATATCGTTTAAGTGAACAGCACTTGTGCAGTGCTATAGAGAGCTGTACTGTCCCCCCACCCCCTTCTTTCTCTCTGGCTTTTTTTTTTTCCTTCCTCTTTTTGGGTGTAAGCGGAATAATAAACGTTTGACTTCCCCTACCTTCATTTTGTCTTTACTTTTAGCATTCTCCGTTGACTTTGTTGTTTATGAAATTGTAGAGAAATATTTTTACCTATAAAGTTTACAAATATAGTTTTTTGTCTGAATTTTGATGGTGTTACAGGATAACAATAGGGCATGGTCTTTTTTTTNTGTAGAGAAATATTTTTACCTATAAAGTTTACAAATATAGTTTTTTGTCTGAATTTTGATGGTGTTACAGGATAACAATAGGGCATGGTCTTTTTTTTAAAAAAAAAAAGAATGTGAGTGGTAGACACCTGCTTATATAGTTTTTTTTTTTTTGTTAAGTAAATAAAGGGTGAGGCAAAATAGAGCGTCCAGAGACCATCCTAATAAGTTCTCATTAGTGAGATTATGAGACTTCTAACCGCACCCGTTACTTCTCTCAGGAATGAATCTAATTAGACTAATATAGCGATTAACTATCGAACTCAAAAACTCGAACTTTCAATCTCAAGATAAGAAGTTCGACCGATATTATATGATTTGTTTCTAATTAATCAATCATTCAATATACTAATGAAATAGTTACAATNAAAACTCGAACTTTCAATCTCAAGATAAGAAGTTCGACCGATATTATATGATTTGTTTCTAATTAATCAATCATTCAATATACTAATGAAATAGTTACAATGAAATCATATCATTAAATCAATAAATTAGATTATATTTTTATGTTTAAATAGTATTACTTCATAAAAATTACTCCTTTTTTCCTAAGACAATAGTTCCCCTAACTAGTCAATTAGATTAGCACCTAAAACACCCAGAAAAAGAGAAAGAAAGGAAGCCCAACACAAATAACTCTAAAAGGAATAAAAAATACAAAGCATTCATCCAATCTTTAAAACATATATTGTCAAATTCTTACAACCCAAACAAGCATCTTGTTGAAAATGAGGATTATTTATTCTTGCTAGTATTTTTAGTCCTTAATATATATATATATATATATATATATATTTTTTTTTTTTTTATTTTTTTTTCAGTTTAGTTTTCATTATTTTAATTTTGCCAATTTGATTTATAAAATATTCAATTCCTAATATTTTGGTCCCTAAATAAAAAGACCGTTAAAATTTTGATAGAATGATCACATATTGAACAAGTGATACCGTCTAAAAAAATGATACGTGGTCACTTCAGTTAAAAAATTTGACGAATTGTTTAATTAGGAACTAAAGTGACATAAATTAAATATTTTAGGGACTAAATTGATAAAATTGATAAATCAGAACTAAACTAATATAAAATATATATTAGGATGAATTTTATTTTGCACCTTAAAAGATTTTAAGTTTCCCACTTTATACTCACAAAAAATAAATTTTTAACATTACACCATCAATGTATCAAAAGTGTTGCAATGTGACTCTTATATTAATTTTTTTATCAGTGTCAATGGTTTGATTTTTAACGCAAAAAATAATGAAAGTTAATAAAAAGGTCACATTGCAATACCTTTAAAATATTAAATATGTAATATAAAAAATTTAATCTTTGAGGATATAAAATAAAAAATTTAAAATCTTTTAAGGTAAAAAGTGTAAAAAAACCCTAAATAAGGAGCAAAAATATTATTTACTCTTTATTCTATATCATATTCCGGGAATAAACACCTCATGGACGGTAATTCCAAGTCGCAAGTCTTGAAATCATTTCTGCTCTGTTCATCTGGATCTGTAGCCTCATCAGAGAGAGCTGGTTTTCCGTCATCTCATTCACTGCTTCCTTCAAAGGATTCGCAGCCTCACCCGGCGTCTCCGACTGCTGACCAGCCACCGCTCCGCCACTTGATCCACTACCGGCCGCCTCAGTCACTGGCAATCGTAGTCCCGGAGGCTTTACACACTTCAAGTGTGTCCCAAAATCACAACCAGCACAGTAGTACACCCACTGCCTCTTGTCCACCGCCACGCCACACACATCACATCCAAAAACGACATTCTTATCATTGAACGGAGTCTGCTGATTAAGATCAAAGATGAGTTTGAGTTCATGGGGGTGTTCATCAACAATAAGTGTGGTCTGCAAAGAGGCGCAGTGGAGGTGAAGATCAAACTGACAATGAGCACAGCTATAGCTGAAGGAATGGCCTTCAGAACCACAAGCATTGCAAGAGTAGAATCCATTAGAATAGGTTGGAAATGGGATGAGGGTTAAGGGGTGAGAAAGGTGAGATGGGTGTTCAAGAGAGCGAGGAATGTTGATGCAGTGGTCATGGAGGTAGTGATTGCATTGGAGGCAGCCATGGAAGGGTTCAAAGATGAGTGTTTCACAGGTTTTGCAGTGGATTTGTTCTCCTTCATCGAGTTTGAGCGGGATTAAGAGGTGGTGGTGGCTGAAATGTTGGTAGTTTTGATGTTCAACTCTCATCTCTCTCTCTCTCTCCCCTGTGTGTGTGAATCATTGTGGAGATGCTGTCATGATTAAATAAAGCTTCCACAAGCAAATCTTACAGTTTTTTCCTGGTGTGGGTTAAATCTTAAAAGATATCTTCTGGGAAACTACTGATAGAAAGACAAAGTCAAACTTAGTAAGATATCTTCTAGGCGACGACTATTTACTCGAGCTTAGTTCGAGAATTTAAAATTTTTCCAGTTGCATTTCTAATTTTAAACTTTATATCCTCAGTTTTAAATCATAGAAAATCAAGTTTAGTTTAGGAGAAAATTGAAACATGAAGTACAAATTTCATACTTTCTTTATTTCTCTCTCTCTCTATCGTTTGATTTGGGTTGTGTAGGTTCATGGGAACATGAGTATGAAGAATGTTAATTGAAGGTAATTCGTTGATATAATTTATTAATTTAATTCATCATAATTACTTAATTGATTGTAATTAAGTCCCAAAGGCTTAAGAAAGAAACAATGAAGTCCAGGATGACCCGAGACATTTTGTGGCTTAAAATAAAAATAATAAATAAGGTGTTTTAACATTAATAATAAATTTTTTTAATTTTTTAAAATAAAAAATATTAATTAAGACTTTATATTTAAGCTTTTGTTATCATAATTGAGCTTTCTGATGAGAGAGAAAGGGGTAGAGAAAGTGTGATTAAAAATTATGATGGTTAGCTTGATTTTTTTTTAATATATAATGACCAAAACAATTTATTTTTTTAGGGTTAAGATTTTTAGTATTTTTTGTTTTACTGTTAATTTAAAAAAAAAAATTAAATTTTAGGATTTTTTAATTTTATGAGCTAAATTAATTGGCTCAAACTTCACTTTCTCGCTCCTTGTTCCTCTGTCAATATACATGGATGGGAAGGGAAGAGTTTGGCGCGTCACTTTCACGTACCTTCAATTGCGATATCTTGGGAAAATAATATGGCCGTAAATAGCATTTTGCCCCTTCAAAGTTTTTAAAATTTTATTTTGGCCTCTCGGATGAAACTATTTTCAGATCTAGTTGGCGCCCGCTAGGGCTGTTAAACTATCCCTGCGGCTCAGGCTTGGCTCGGTTTTAGTTCGGCTTAAGTTTGCTCATGAGTTGAATCTGAATAAATTTTTAGACTCATTTAGCATTCGAGTTAAGCCCAAGTTATTCACGAGCCGACTCGTTTTATCTTCTTGTACGTAATAAATATAAAAATTATATCAGATCTTAAAGTTATTTCAGTAAAATTAACAAAAAATTTAAGTTTGCATATTTTTGTTGTGATTTAAATGTATTTTATGCTCAAATTTGTGTTAAAAATATAGATTTTTATGCGTTTTTCTGAATTTTTTTGATTGGATATTTGAAATTTATGGATTTAAATTTTTTTTTTTGCATGACTTGTTTTTGACTAGAGCTCAACTCGAATTTGATATAAACTAAACTTAAACAATATTTTAAGCTTGATAGGCTAGCTTAAACAATCATTGAATAGCACAAGCCGTGCATGAGCATAGTCAAACTCAAAATACTCGATTCGATTAACACCCCTAACTTCAGCCTCCATTTATATCCCATGTAATCACATTCTCAGATACAATTTTTAGATTTCAGTTGAGATTTACCCACTTTATGTCAAAGTACAAAACTTAATACCTTTGAGTAGGGTTGGTAATGGCTTGAGCCTCGTTAGATTTGCATTAAAATTTGTTAAATCTATATTCAACTTATTTATAATCTTGTATAATCGAGTTTTTATTTTATTTAGTTGAATTCATATTAATCCATTAATTAGATAGGTCTAATGAATCTATTGGTTTATCGTCTAAACTAACGCTCCACATGATTTTGTGCTAGTTTTGTGAATCACATCTCGAAGAAAAATTATGAATTATCCCTTATAGTTTGTCTTGTTTATACATTATCTCTTTATATTTTTAAAACTTACATATAATTCGCTGATGTTTTGGACTCATGTAAAAAATTAAGTTGCGTTTGGCGTAACTTCTTAAAATTAGTTTCTCAATCTCACTTGACGGTAAGTCTCGTGAACGCATCTAAATTGGGAAAATATTTTCCACCATAATTGATCATTTTAATACCCAATATGCCATTTTATTCAAAATAAAACCCAACCCTGAACATTGTTCTCCAAAAGACCCAACAATTCCTGTCTCCTTCCAGTACCCATCTTCTTTTACTCTCCTCTATATCTCAGTTGTTGTCTCTTTCCATCTACTCACTTGGAGCACCATGTCTTTTATTTTCCACTCAGGTAGTTAGAATTAGCCTATGGACTGTAGTAATGANTTGTTCTCCAAAAGACCCAACAATTCCTGTCTCCTTCCAGTACCCATCTTCTTTTATTCTCCTCTATATCTCAGTTGTTGTCTCTTTCCATCTACTCACTTGGAGCACCGTGTCTTTTATTTTCCACTCAGGTAGTTAGAATTAGCCTATGGACTGTAGTAATGATAGAATTTCATCTTGATTGGGATCTTGACCACATACCAAATCTTTGGCCGTATTAATATGTTCCAATAAGTTGCAATTGGACTTGGTACATCTTTAAGGAAAACCCTGAAATGTCTTGCTCACAGCCTGAGCAAAGGATGTCATCCTCTTTCACTGAAATGTTGCATCTCTCTCTCTCTCTCTATGTCTGTGTGTATGTGTGTGAGTGTGTGTGGCAGCCATTAGATCAATTGCTAAACCCCCTTCTCTCTCTCTCTATATATATATATATTTATATATATGTATATGCGTGTGTATATGTGTGTGTGGCAGCCATTAGGCCAATCGCTAAACTCCTGTCAGTTGACTAGACATGGTCTGCAAGTTCTTGTAATTGTGTGGGAAGGTTCAGTTAATCATTTTACAAATATTATCATTGGAAAGTCAGCTGACTCATTACAACTATTTCTTGGCACCTGCAAAAACAAGGAGAGAGAGAGAGAGAGAGCGAGAGAGAGTTGACTTCAAATATTTTAATCTCTCCCTGCCTTCCCGGCAATCTTGCAGTATCCACACAAAATTGTCAAATGAAAGCACAAAGGTGACAACAATAAACAATAAGTTTTGAAAAGTACATTTTTGTTTCTCTCTTGTTTTTTGGGAGGTGGATCGAGCCCCTCTTCTATGTTTTTTTTATCATTTATCTCAATGACAAATCATATAATCTCAATGGCACCCATTTAATTTTAGCAGCTAGGTTTCTCTAGAGCTGAGACTGAATGATCTTTCAATGAAAAAACAGAAGAATACACAAATTCAGTTTTATAACTTACAATAATCAAACTTCATAAGACCCTCAGGAAATATTTATTTGAATGCACAACCTAACACTGTCAAACCATAGCAACAAAGTAAATCCCAATGGGAGGAAAATCAAGGGAAAGAGAAAACATAAACCAAATCATGAGTTTGACAAGAACAATTATACACGTTTGTAAAAAAATTTCAATGCTTTTTTCTACTCAAGAATTCTTGTAGAGAGAGAAGTGAAAGAGAAAGAGATGAGTTTATTTTAGAAAAAAAAAAACTTATGATTGGTCAATTTTTTTATGACAAATTTTTGTTCAAAACCATAAAAAGGTGCGAGGTTTAAAAAAGTACTAAAGTGTTACGGACAAAAACCACGAGCCGATGAAAAAGTAGTTTACCCAATTAAATCGAGGATAGATTGTGCCGTTTGGAGACGTATTTGCGCTAGAAGTTGAGTTGTTTCCAATTCGATTTGGGCCTGAATTTGAACTTCACGAATCAAATCCTCTTCTGATTGTTGAATTGGGATTTCTTCATCATTCACACAATCCAAATGAGTATTGTAATCACACTTGTGACAATGGTAGACCCAAGAGATTTCATGAATAGCTTGATGACAAACATCACACAAGACCAGTGAATCTTCTTCTTCTTCTTCTGCAACATTTTTGTGTTGAGAGGAATAGAGGAGAGTTAATGGGTGTTCATGATCTTCTCTTTTCACAGTTTCAGGCAAGCTTACACAATCAACATGGAGGTCAAATGTGCAGATTGAGCAATTGTAGGTGAAAGCTCCGCCATTTTTGAGGCAGGCATTGCAGGTGAACTCACCATCTGCTTTGTAAGGTGGGGATGAGAGAAGGGTGAGAGGGTGATCAAGGTGAGATTTATGTTGGATCTTTATTGGCAGTTTGAAGCATGACTTGTGGAGAGAGAATGTGCATTGAGACTCGGTGCAAATGTAAGCGAAATCTGAGAGGTTTTTCTCACACCCCGAACAAGTTTTTGCACCATTCTCTTCAACTTTTGACAGATTCAAGGTATGGTCATGGCTAAAATGCTTCCGCCCTCTTCTTTGTTCTTGACTCTCCACTATGCCCGAAACTGGCGTTGCCTCGTTAGAGTCGGACCTCGAGGGTATCCCAATACACGAGGCACCTAATCCGCCATTGAAAATTGACACACTTTCATTAGGTTTAGATAAAATTGGACTAGGAACATTTTGAACAAACTCAAATATTGAAGCTTGAGGCTGGTAAGGTGTTCCAGTGCACGAGGCACCCACTTTGCCATTGAAATTTAACCCGCTTCCATTGGGTTTAGAGAAAATCGGAGTAGGAACATTTTGAACAGACTCAAATATTGAAGCGTAAGAGAGGAAAGGAGGTGGAGCTTGAGCATTAAAACCTGGCCTTCCACTAGGAGGGAGAGAATTATTTAGATAAGGGTCATTAGGGTTAGTTTCAAGGGGGGTGGTTTTGGTCATGTAGGCACAATGGACATGAAGATCAAACTCACAATCAGAACAAGTGTAGGAAAAGCCAGTTCCAATTTGGTTGAAGGAATTGCAGAAAAAGGAAGTGGAGGGTAAGTTGGATAGGGGACTAGGGTTAGAGGATGAAGGGGGTGAGATTGGTGTTTCATGGAGCGGTTGGCCTGAAAGCACTGTTCATGAAGAAAGTAGCTGCATTGGCGGCAAGCATACACGGTGCCGGGAAGGTTACAACCTGAGCAATGGATTTGGGTCCCTGGTGGCACTTGGTGGTGAAT